TTATTTTTTTTTTCAAACTGCTTGTTTAAATGAGCTAAATCAACACAATTGTTGAGGTTTTTTTGAGGGACAACTTAATTATTTTATGTTCAATCCTCTTAAATTTGTAAATAAGTTAACCTAATTCATGTTGTCCTAACAGAAATCGATTCTCTGGGACCCCAAATTTTTTACAGTGAAGTTTCTCTTTGTCAAGCCATTTCATTGACAAAATTAACACTGCTGTTAAAGGGTTAAATACAGTGTTTTTTTATATAGTATTTATTTAAAGGAAGCATATGTATATTTTATTAAAAAAAAAAATTTTGGTAACTTTTGTGACCTTCAGCTTGGCATAAGTGTGGCCCTGCATTCTATGTAAGAATTAAACACAAAAGTTTGCTTTACAATACGTATGTTCTTCATTTTGTTTCACTAACATTAGTTGGGAATTGAAATAACTATGAATTGTCTTTTTCTCCATTTTTTTTTTCCCTCCCTTTCCCTTCACAGCTCCTCCAAGACCGTTGACCCCGGAGAAGTTTTCTATTCCTCATCGTTGTGCTCGTTTTGGTCCAGCTGGTCAGCTGATCCTTGTCCAACCCAACCTGCCCTCTGCTGGTCAGCCCACACTAGTAGAAATCCACAGTATGGAGGTAAAAAAAATACACTGCGATATAAATCAAAAGTTCTCGACACTGTTATATCTCAAACTATGAGGGTTTTAGTTAAAAAAACTAGATCTTTCTTAACTACAATACCTGCATTTAAAATCAATACCTCTACAAAAAAGTTGTGTCGTTCAGCTGATTGAGTTTCATTTTGTGCATATGTTTATATCTAGGTACATTTTTACCACTGTGCCTCTTAATGTTCCTCCATGTAGTTTTGCTTTTCATAATTAGTTCTAAATACTTTCACAATGATTTCAGTTACATTACATGCGTCTAATATCTTGGTTGTGATGCTTTTCCAGACGCTCCTGCAGGATTCTCCAGAGCAGTCAGACATGCGTTCATTCCCAGGCCCGCTGGTCAAGTAAGTATCCTTCCCTTACCAAATAAAAGCTTGCACGTGTATAATCTGACCCTGTAAGAGCCACGTATACTGTCAAACAATCTTGTGTGTGTGTCCACAGAGAGGAGACTCATAAGGTGGATGTCATGAAGTTTGCTCAGAACAAAGCCCAAGAGTGTTTGCGAAACGATGACCTCATCGACAAAGACTCCGCCTACCTCATCTGGGAGTTCATTGTGCTGCTGTGTCGCCAGAATGGGGTGAGTGTTTGATAGGCCAAGCTAATGCTGTGCTTACGCTAGGGCTCTTTATTTTAAAATGCACAGGATTTACTATGGTTGTGCCGTGCATTTACACTACTCCAGAATTTGCCAGCATTAAAGTCCACATTAGCTGAAAGTTGCTGAGACTTTTATTTCAATATGTTATTTCAATACTTCCAACTGAAACAGAATATGGAGTAGGGGGCAGTGCTTTTTTTGTGCATCATTCCCTCATAGCAAACTAAAAGTAAGAGGGGCGTGGTTAAGAATATTGTGGCTGATGCCATCACACTAACTTCAACAGAGAAGGACCACCACTCCAAATGTAGAGGCAAATGGTCAAATTTGATTGAAGATTACCAAAACAATCATTTATTGGCAGTGGCTTAACCTACACAGGTTATTTGTACACTTAATGCAGTGTTTCTCAACCATGTACCTGGAGGACCACAAACACTGCATGTTTTGGATGTCTCTCTTGTCTGTCACACCCGTTACAGGTCTTTCAGTCTCTGCTAATAAGCTGGTGATCTAAATCAGGTGTGTTTGGATAAGGAGACATGAAAATGTGCAGAGCTGGTGGTCCTCCAGGAACGGGGTTGAGCAACACTGACCTAGTGCTTTCAGAATTGATGGAACAAAAAGTTTTTGTCTCCCCATGTTCACTCAATTGTTTGTCTTTGATTCGTCAAGCCTTTATTATAGCCTCTGTGAAGTTTATTTATATACTAATTTCGAGAGGATCACGTGCTTATGATTGACCACGGCTGGTCCTGCATTAGCTAACACATGATATATCAATCAGATGAATCCGAACGCACATAAATAACCGGATTCCCTTACCTTAGACATCTTTGTCTTGAAAAAATCTGCCTCGACTCCTTCCCTTCTTTCCTAGCATATTACAGGAAGAGTTCTTAAAACCTACCTAAACTCAGACTCGACTCTCTCCCAATGAAACATTAGGGATCCCCAGGCTCGAGTATCCTCCGAGCTCAGGGCTCTATGGTGGGACAGCAAGCCTTATCAATCATCACGCATTTACTTATCAATCATCAGCTAAGTATGAACTCTTGAAATATTTATCATTTAGCCAGAGGGCTTTATTTTGACGGTCCATGCGAAAAACGCAAGGCGCAAACGATTTCAGGGCGTGTCAGAACGCATTTTTGCTAATTTAAGGACGGGAAAATCCGCTTTGCGCCGTGGCGCATGGTCTAAAAGGGTTGAGTTTATTTTCTTAATGAGTTATAGGTGTGTTTTGAGAATAAACCAATCAGAGTCTCATGTCTCATTACCTTTAAGAGCCGCAGCTGCGTCGCGCCATAAGCGCACATGACGTAAAGTAAGTTCACTTTCGCTTTTGCTCTCGTGGATAGGGAAACCTTTACGCACAGACATCAATTAGCCTAAAAATAATCAATTTCGTTTGTTAAGCGCAAAGATTGGTTTCAAAACTATTTCTAAATTTAGTTCTAATTTCCAGCAAACAAATAAATGAACAATAACAACAAAGTGTGTTCAAAATACTGAGTTATTTCCAAACACACCTGCTATGCCCTATATGGTCTAAAACCTGACAGTTGGGCAAATCTAAGCTTGTTTTTAATAAAACAAATATAAATATGGATATAAAAAATAATACTGCTAATAATAATAACATCATAGAAAAGCAAATTGAATGAACTGAAAAAGCCTCCCGAGATGAAGAAAGTATGACGGCAGTGGTTTATAAATTCATGTAGGCTAGAAATTAATATGCTTTGTAATATTTTAATCATTTATATTTATATCCTATATATATCCCTTATATATATATCCTTAATATATTATATATTTTTCATATGTAAAGATATTTGCGTATTGCTCTGCATCTTGTGTGTAGTGTGTAAGCCAGGCGCACATTGCGCCAGACAATAGACCGACTTTGTTCTGGTCTAAAGATCAGACTATTTACAGTTTCTCAAAATAGCAACGCGCCAAAACATGCCTGCTTTTTTAGACCAGAACGCCTACAGGCGCACATTTGAGCGCAAATGCATTTGCTATTTAAACAGTGTGGCGCAACACCTCAAAATGACCCTTGCGCCGAGGTGAAAGTAGCAAAAGACTATTGAATGTTGAATTTTGCATATTTGTGACGAGCCCTCAAGTTACAAAAACTGAGATGGCAGAAAGCACATCCACTGTCCTGTATGTTTATATGCCTGTTATGTTTTATAGTATATGTTTGTTATTTATTGCAAATGCCATAATAAGTGTTTTTGATTTATTTTTGCTTTACATACATGCAAATTTCATGGTTTTAATCTTGTTTTATTGTGAATGCAGGAAACGTACTACTTTCGCTCTCAATGATGAATGCTAGTTGTACTATTATAATTAGTGCTTATTCAATAATTGCATGTAGGCCACAGTTTTGTATTAGAATTTTATAGCTGCTTTTAACTTCTGACATGCATTTTTGGTCATGTAGTTTGGATGAAGATCTCTTCAGTAATCTTGTGCAAGGATCATTTTTATTTGAACTGTTGTTAAAAACACATACACACACTTTAATTAGCAGAGAAGCCTAAGAGGGTGTGTCATGTTTGGTTAATTATCTGTTATGATGTTGATTAAATTGTTTGCTATGTTGTTAATATAATGCTATCTTGTTTTTTGGTCTCTTTTAGACCGTAGTGGGTACAGATATTGCTGACCTGCTGCTGAAGGAGCATCGCTCTGTGTGGTTGCCAGGAAAATCACCCAATGAGGCCAATCTCATTGACTTTAACAATGAGGCAATAGAGCATGCAGAAGAAGACATGGGGCAAATGTCCCTCCTATCAGACACGTTCATGGGTGTGCCTGAAAATATTGGCAAGGATACGGAGCGCTTCAGAGAACTACTGCTGTTTGGCCGCAAGAAGGCAAGACACAATCTCTTCTTTTCCAGTTATGTCTCACTGTGGCTCCCTTCGTCACATAGAAAACATTTTTTATGACCCAATCATTTCCTATATGGAAATAATTAAGTAAAATATATATATTTCTAAATATCCTTTTCCCTTTTATGTTCTTTAATGGTCATGTTATGACAAGTTTTAGGTTATGGTTGATTATATCTACATTTTTCTTATTATGTTTTATCTGTATTGCTATCTTATAACAAATTTGTGATAGTACATCTATGTTTTATAGTACAATAGTATTGTTGAAATTATCATTTGAATTGATGTATTAATAGGATGATACTATTATTCAAAATTATATTATATTAATATTAAATAATATTTTGAATAATATATATATATATATATATATATATATATATATATATATATATATATATATATTCATAATAGTTACATATATATATATATTCATAATAGTTACATATATATATATGTGTGTGTGTGTGTGTGTGTGTGTGTGTGTGTGTGTGTTATTAATATTTATTATTTATTAACCTAATATTGTTCTTATTTTGCTTCTTTTTGTTATTTTGTCTTATGCTTATGCTTATATTATTGTTATTATTATTTTGTTATTTAGTCCAGTAGGATTGCAATTATTTCTAATAATATTATTTATATTATATTTATATTTTTATTATTTATATTTCTAAAAATGTATTATTTATATTTTTAATAATAATATTATTATTAATATTATTTATATTATTTAAATTATTCATATTTAATAATTTTTGTTAATATTATGACATGATACATTATAAAATAAAATAATAATATGAAATACTATTTTATATTTGTAGTATGATAGTGTCATTGCAATAATATTTACTGTTGATTCAATTAAGTATTCATAGACCTATATTACTTATACTATAAAATTATAATTATATAATTGTTGTTGTTAATGTTATATAGCTGTAATAAATAGGGAAAAATTGGTAATGATCACAAATTTAACCAAAAAATTGTAATACTGACCCCATGCCTTCACTGTTTTAAATAAATATAGATGACACAGTTTCACAGGCTGGCAAAATCATATTATAAAACAGCGTCAACACATTTGAGAATTGAGAAGACATTTGAGAATGATGTGTATGTTTGTTAGGACGCTCTGGAGTCTGCTATGAAGAATGGTCTGTGGGGTCACGCTCTGTTACTGGCCAGTAAAATGGACAACAGAACTCACGCTCGCGTCATGACCAGGTTAACCATTTCTCCTCACAACAACCATTGTTTGCATGCTTTCTGTGCAGCACGGAGTAATAATTAACGTTTCAATTTGTCTCTTATAGGTTTGCCAACAGCCTGCCTATTAATGACCCTCTTCAGACAGTTTATCAGCTCATGTCAGGACGTATGCCGGCTGCTGCTACTGTACGTCAGAATTTGTGTGTGTTTGATTTGATAATGTAGTAATTTACGCAATGCTTCATACATATGCATCTTTTTCCAGTGTTGTGGAGATGAGAAATGGGGGGATTGGAGGCCACATTTAGCCATGGTGCTGTCCAACCTCACTCACACTCTGGATCTTGACACCCGCACTATTTCAACAATGGGTGACACTTTAGGTGTGTAAATGTACATGCAAACATGTCTGGCACATAAGTGGAAAGAAATATGTCTTTATTTTTCATGTTGTGTTTAGTAGTTGACCGAAATATTGCCAAGGTCTGATCGACATCTGCATTAGGGTTTCTACAATACTGGAATTCAGTACCAATCAATACTGAAATTTCAAAAACATCCAACATTTGATTGCTGTTAAGCGAGTTCTTAAACAAACAAAAGAAATGATTTGCCATTGTGTTTACATGCTCAACAGAAATGACTGTGATTGGCCGTGAAGCTCATCAGTTCACCAAAGGAGCGTTTTAAAGCCGCAAATCATCAGCTGATCACTCTTATGTCAGCATATAGATAAACCAGCTGATTGACGTAACTTTAAAACGCTCCAGTGTCCCTGTATCTGTGGTCACACTCAGTAAACAGTAGTGACTTTGGTGAACTGATGAGCTTCACGGCCAATCACAGTCATTTCTGTTGAGCATGTGAACACAATGGCAAATCATCGCTGTTTAAGAACATGCTTAACATCACTTAAATGTAAGCGGTAACTGGACGTTTTTAAAACTTCAGTATCGAATGGTGCTGAGTTGCAGTAGCATGACAACCCTAATCTGCATCAGCCAATAAATCTTTTTAAAGTTTGGCCGATGTTTTTGAGAGGGACTTTTTATTTTATCGGCTAAATATCAGTCATCTTCCACCCTACTTTCCAAGATATCGGCAGTAAAAAAAAAAAAAGTATATATCGGTCAACTGCTAGTTTTATTATTGTGTACCCTTTTTGACATATATATACTACTTTTTATGATTCAGTCAGTTGCTAATGGATATTATCCAAGTAAACGTATGTTTTGTTTCTTGTTGAATATTCTGCTTCTCTTCATATTATGTAATGATCATGTTATGATTATGATTATCGTTCTGGACTATTATAGCTATCTCATGTTGACTTTAAATGTATCAGCATTATATGTATATGTATGTATGTATGATTTTTCTGTTCTATGAATTAAAATAATCCAGATATAAATCTTTATATATCTTTGAACTGTAAACAGTTGCACAAATTCAAATATGTTGTCTTTTGCTTATTATTATTAACAATAATAATCAATAATAATAAAGCATATTTTATTTTATAGTATAGAACTATTACATTAATTATATGTAGCTTTTAAATTTGAACTTAATCATTATAATCATTGAAATGTCATTTATTAAAATGTAACATTTTATTTAATTTAGCTTTGATTTAATCTTGACACTTGCACCATTTCAACCATTAAAACAGCAAACACGCAATATGTGAACTTGAATGCATTGTAGTTGCAACTCTGGATGTGTGATGTGGAATATTCTGTGTGTTACAGCATCTAAAGGTCTTGTAGACGCAGCCCATTTCTGTTACCTGATGGCTCAGGTGGGTTTCGGTGTTTATACCAAGAAAAGCACCAAGATGGTCCTCATCAGCTCCAATCACAGGTATACACACAACTAATACATGCAATGCATTCTCAAGAAAAATCATAGAAACTATGAATTCTGTATGTGCACTACTATTGTTTTCTCTCACTCTCTCTCTCTCTCTTGTTCCCAGCTTGCCTTTTTTGAAGTTCTGCTCATCAGAGGCAATTCAGCGGACAGAATCATACGAATACGCTCAGTCTCTTGGCTCTCAGCCTCTTTCTCTGCCTAACTTCCAGGTCAGTTCAACACATCGCTACTTTCCTAACAAAAAGCCAGTTAGTGAGTTCTAAAAGATACGCCAGCTTATTAGATTTATAGACAGCTTTATAACTAGACTGATTCGTTTTTATTAGGTCTGCTTGCTATATCAAAGTAACAATAAAATAAAATAACAGACAACCTAATTAAAAACGCTGTTCTGGAAAAAATGTGAGTTATGACAACAGAAAAAATACATATTATTTAGTGCTGTTCAAAAATTCATTTCATGCAAAATAGGTTTGTTTTGACATTGTATGTGTGTACTGTGTACATTTATTATGTATATATAAATACACACATGCATATATTTGAGAAAAATATTAATTATGTTTAAATATAATATGTGTATATGAAATAAATGTATATCTATGTAACAAAATAATTTTGTTTTATCACATATGCATAATAAAAAATATATATATTTTTTTTTTCTTTTTTTTTTTTTTTTTTTCTTGTCGGCTTAGTCCCTTTATTAATCCAGGGTCGCCACAGCTGAATGAAACGCCAACTTTTTCAGCAAGTTTTTACGCAGTGGATGCCCTTCCAGCTGCAACCCAGCTCTGGAAATCATCCACACACACTCATACACAACGGACAATTTAGCCTACCCAATTCACCTGTACCGCATGTCTTTGGACTGTGGGGGAAACCGGAGCACCCGGAGGAAACCCACGCGAACACAGGGAGAACATGCAAACTCCAGACTGAAACGCCAACAGAGCCGAGTCTCGAACCAGTGACCTTCTTACTCTGAGGCGACAGCACTACCTACTGCGCCACTGCTTCGCCCTATATATATATATATAGCATAAACAAACATATATTTTGTCAAAACAAACGTTTTATTTTGAATGATGCTTTTTTTTAATCTTTAAAATAATAATAAAAATTGCATCTGACAAAATTGCTACTGTCATTCTACTTTTAATAATAATAATTTGTATTATTTGTAGTTTAAATAATGTTTAGTTTCCAAAAACACAAATCTGTTAGAAATGTCCGTGCCGGTATTCAGTAATGCAGTATACTGCGGTAATGAACATCCACAATATTGTTGTCATGAACACTTCAAAATATATTTTTATAATTTATCAAAATATTGGAATGCTGCCTCTCTGGACTGTTTTAAGAAACTTCTTAAGACTCACCTTTTTAGCATTGCTTTTAACTGAGGATGATCAATTTGTTAACTTCTTATTCTATCTTTCGGTTTACATTTCTTATTATTGCATCTTTTTATTGTTGTGCTGTTCTCCTTGACTTGTGTTGTAAGTATTTTGCCTTGTAATGCTTTGAGTTTAAGAAAAGCGCATTACAAATAAAATGTATAGTATTATTTATTATTGTCATTTTAAATAATTACCAATTATTGTGCAATTACAAACACCATATGCCTAATTGCAAGGTTTTTCCTCCAGTATCATAAAAGCTCTAAATCTGTTCAGCTTTTGTAGTCTACACAAATGCAGTAAGGTCGTGACTCATGGCCTTTACCTTTTGACCTGTACAGGTGTTCAAGTTCATCTACGCATGTCGTCTGGCGGAGTCTGGTCTCTGCGCTCAAGCTTTTCATTACTGTGAGGTCATTTCCCGCACACTGTTGAGTCTGCCGGAGTATTACTCTCCTGTGTTCATCAGTCAGCTCATACAGGTACACTCAACAACATTCTGTCTGTGTGTCTGCGGACTTATTCCCTCAAGTCTAATGTTTCTTGTTTTGATATACAGATGTCTCTGAGGTTAAGGTTTTTTGACCCTCAGCTGAAGGAACGGCCGGAGCAGGAGTTGTTTATAGAGCCTGATTGGTTACTTCATCTCAGACAACTCGATGGACAGATCAAGGTGTGTGCTTGTTTTCATGTTACATAAATACTTTACTCTGGTTTTTGAAAAGAACAAGTTAATTCATAGTTTACTTCTTTGGTTTATGGTACTATAGGAAAAAATAGGTGTGATTTAATTCTCATTTAAAGGTGTTGTAAGTTTTTGACTCTTCTAAAGCATACAAATACCATAGTATGTTTGCAGATATTTAAGAAACATGCCAAGTGAACACACTTGTTTGTCTGAAAAACAATGCTGAAGTCAGATATTCTGCTTTGAAAATGTGCATTACGAGTCGGAACAGCTGTTTTTGTTTTGGTTCTTTTAACCCACACACTGCCACTTTAACCAAGTAATGTTTCACCAACTAATTTCGAGAGGAGCATGTGATATGACTGAGCATGACTGACTTCTCATCTGTAATCAGTAATAATCCAATTAGAGTGAACCAAGCTTACTATAAATGAATCGTTTTCTCCCTACTGCTCTATCTTCGTTTGAGAAGATTCCCCCCTTCCACCCCATCTCCTCATTTTCCACCCTTTTTTAAGGGGAGGGCTCTTGAGACCTACCTGATCTCGGATCCCCTTAAATGCTTATTGACTGGGCGGGGGCTTTGGGCTCAAGTATCACCAAGCTCAGGGTTCTCTCCCAGGACAGCATGCCAAACCTGCTATTAACGATGAACATATCTAAGTGGGAACTCTTGAATGATATTTCAACACCCGGGGTTGCCTTGTTAGAAAACCGCTTATTTCATTCATACAGTCAGGAAGGCTCTCAAAGCATGCGTCCGAGACCGAAATGCAACCTCCGGTGGACACTAGCAGTCTTCGAAATGAGACACAGATTTAGAGTTCCACATGAGGTTATTAATTAGCCAGTAATATAAATATTATAAGCGTGAACATTAGGTTAGCAGGTTACATTGTAACCCTGTGTCCTAACAGCATGCTACTTGACAAAATTTGAAGTGATAAGCAAATTGGCTGTTTGCACCAGACGAAACACCAGACAGAAATTTAAATACAACCATTCAGAAGCACAGAATATGCACTCTCTCACAAAATAATAAGGTGTATAATCTATGTTTCAGCCCCCTTAAGAATGTTGTGAAAAAAAGATTCTGGTCTGCAAATTATTCTAAGTCTCTAATGCTGCGTTCACACCAGACGCGGAACGTGCGCCAAGCGCGAGTGATTTACTTGTTAAGTCAATGCAAACGCACAAATAGACATCCTGCGGTGCGATGAGCACAAATGCCGCGGCACGAATAAAATTAATTGCATGAATTGCGCGAATCGAGTGTTTCGCGCGAATTGCTTGTGTTCGAAAGTCAGAGCTTCAGCGGACATTCGCGCCGTGTTAACCAATCAGGACCTTCTCGTTAGCCAATCACCTGTTGTGGGGGCGTGATTGTGACGTACACGTGTTGTTGGAGTTAGGAAATCCTCCCGTCGACACCGACATAAAGTTCATCAAACTGGGCTGGGCTCAGTCAGAAGCACCGCTGAAAGCCTCCATCATCCAGGTTAAGTTTCTGGGGGAGTTTATGAGCTCACAGAGGTGGATGCACCTCTGAAATGATCTAGTGGTCTCAGACACGGCCCTAAACGTATCGACGCTGTTTTTCAGCCTTCGTAAAGCACTTAAACTGTTATTTTCTTAATAAAATCCCTGTTAGTGTCGTAAATTTTGACGACTAATCAATTACAAATTATCAGACCAGAGGTTTTGAATATCAGGAAATAGACTTTATTCTCCATAATAAAGCCGAGAAAGAGCAGAGCAGACCCCAGAGCATTCTGAAGTCTCTCCTGGACACCTTCTGAAGTCTCTCCTGCACCTTCTGAAGTCTCTCCTGCACCTTCTAAAGTTTCAGTGTGTTTGTTACAATTTTTATACAGGATTATTTGACACACCCCTAAGTCTCTTTTTAACTCTTGACCATTTTTGAATAGGTTTTTAGTCTAAGGGGTCCTGCTATTCTTGGCTCTCAGCCCACTAGCTCATGTCAGCAGAGATGTTACAGGTCTATGTCAGCAAAGTATAGATGCAACTTATGCAAACGGATTAAGTGTTTACATACATTGTTATGATAGGATAATAACTTGATAATATGTTACTCATTCTAACTTCTAAAAAAATATAGCTTCATACAAGTATTTAACATATATGATCAGTGCTTTACATATTCAGTTATTCTACACAATCAGTCACTCAGCCTTCTCCTAGTGTTGCTCCTGTAGGCATACTCATCTTACACAGACATATCACTGTATTTTTAACACACGCTGGCATGTTTGCTGCAAACACTACATACATTTTGTGAAGAGAAAATTAACTGCTTTACACTTAGAAAATACTTCACACTGAGAGAATAGAAATCTTCTTCAATCCCTCCTCTTAAGACTTTAGTCTTAATATTATTGTCTTTTAACCCAAAGTGCAATTTCATAATCCAGTTCTCTTAATTACCTCTATCTAGTGACTGATATTAGCCACATAGCTGTTATCAATTGACCAGATTATGCCACCGTACTTTGACAGAAGTCCAGCCAAACATCTTCCCAGTTGATTTGAAGGAAGTAAAAGACTGTACTCTGTTTTTCTCTTAACACATCAAAGACAATAAAGTTTTAAGCATAAGTATTCAGTTGGTTCAGTGCTAGCTACTAGTTTTCACACTCATGTAGAATATACTGAAGTGATATTATATATAGGTACCATGAAAGCAATATGCAAACAAAATCAATATGCAAACGTAAAAAGCATCAAATGTTGATCTTGATCTTTGCTCATCCTTGTTTCTCTTCTTCTAAGCTATCAGCATCTTCACTTGACTTTAAAAAGATGTTGATGGAGATGTGTGGTTAAGAGTCTGAGTTCTGAAATCTGCAGTTGTGCATTCATCATCCCTTGACTTGTGGCACTTCTGTATGTGGTATCAGGCATATTATCAGAATCACTCTTTACTTTGTTCTGATAAACTTCTCCTTCCACAAGTTGAACTTCGTAGTTTTGAGCTTTGGAATATTCTGGCTCATCGGTTTCCGGTCAGCTTTCCCTTGCTGGAGTTGTTCCCTTTCGCTCCTTTGAGGCATTGGTACCCCATCAATGGCATCCTCTTTGGCAGCTGTTGGATTTGCCCTCATCCAGATATGGTCCTTTCCTCCTGAGCTCTCCAGAGCATCCACAGATAGACTCAATCACCTAGACCAATTGGACCTTGTATCACTGCTCTCTCACATGGCTCCTTTCTGGTTTCCTGCACAGATATCGCTTTGCACATGGCAATTAATTGTTTCTTCATTAAAGTCCCTACTGCATTAGACATCTTTGCAAACCATTCCAAGAGGTTTATGCAAGGTTATAGGTGAGATTATATGCCAGGTTTTATGCAGTTTCATGTGGTTTCTTGCAAGGGTCATGCTGTTTCTTGCAAGGTTTCTTTCATGGGTCGACCCAATAGCAGTTCATGCGCTGCAGTGTTAGATGCCTGTTTCTGTCAGTTTCCATGCCATCACTCACCAATGCACTTGTTAGCAAATTAATTCTATTAAGTTTATTATTTTCACATATTTCATTGAGCGTTGGTCTTGATGGATCATCTTCATCTCTTTCAGCCATTTCTGGTAATTGAGCATAATACAATTATTCTCTCTTTTTCTTTATTCATAATTTTTCATACTCCTTTAGATGTTTTTATTTATTGATCACTTATTAACTTCATGAATACTTTATGAATGCAAACCCATTATGAACTTATTTCTGCTGATGTTTCAAATCCTAGGAAGTACTTCTTTTTTCACAAATGTAATAACTGTTCCAGCTTTATAATTTGCTTCTGGTACCACCTCAAATCATCTACTCATCATAGTTTCTCAACTGTGCTTGTTTACAGAATAATTCTCTATCTAGTCAACACCAAAAACAGTCATCATCTCACTGTTTGGAGCAATGGTCTCCAGTCAAGTCTTTTAATTGAACTAGATCTTTGTGAAGCTGTAGACAAGACAATCATCCACATATTGCGACAGTGTCCATACTAAGATATTTTCCCTAATTTTAACCCTTTATGCATTCTGGTGTATACAGTGTTTGCTATTCATCAAGCTACACAAGTACAAACAAGTTTCTACCCTCCTCTGGTAGTTACCTAAAATAAACTCAATAGAAACTAAGCACTTAATATATTTACCATCCAAAAGAGCATATCTTCACATCCAATATGAACTTCAGCTGGAAAATCTTCTTCTGTTGATTGCTCTTAAATCATATTATCAACATTAAGCCTCTTTTATCTGTCTTGATTAACCATTTATTTTAATTATCAAATTAACTTCAATTAAATATTATTAGTTACTTATAATTTATTACTACTTTAAATTTAAATTTAAATAAAAGTGTCTAGGACAGATTGCATATTACATTATAGATGTTTCTATTAGTGCTCTTATATTTTTACACTTTTCAATAGAGTTTTATACCTATTTCAGCATTTAGTGGTTTTATTTCTGGACAGATCTGCATCTAATCCATTTTAACCCTCACTGTGCTGGCTGATTTTATCTGCATCTCAGTCCTGTAATGACAATCATTTAGTTGGAATTTGACACTTCTTTCTTTTACTAATTAATTTTCTGAGCTATATATTAATTCATTTTCGTCCTAATTTGTGGTATTGTCTTTTGGCTAACATTTATTTCTTAAGGCATTCCCCTCAAACTAGTTGATTATACAATTTTGATGCACTTTTTTATTAGCTGACTAAAACTTACTGTATGTTTTGTAAATTTCTTCTTGCTCTGTTTTAACTATTATTCCTTAATATTTTCTTCTAATTATTCTTCACATATGTTTTCATGTAAAACAATATTTTTTTCTTAAACACTTTTCTCTTTCAATTTGTTTTATAGTAATTTAGAAGTATTACTTTTTGACCTTACCATATCTTATGAATTTATTTCAATTGTTATTTCAATCTTCCCTTTAACTGTATCATTTTTGTAATCATTTTTCTAAATTTGAATCTCTTTCCAGTTTTCAATATTCAATCTTGATTTAGGCCATTCATAACATGATTATGTTAAGATATTTCCTTTACTTAATTTTATTTAAATACTTAGTTATATTCTTATTTATTCTCCAAATTATTTATTGCCTTATCAAAAGCTTATTCTCTTTTTCTTTAGTCAATCTGCTGCATTGTAATTTATCCTTCAATGTTTAAGGACTTTTATGATTAAACCTATTAAAACTTAAACCTAAATTATTTAACATTCATCATAATTTATCATTACGCATTTAAAATTTCACTGTAGAATTTCCTTATAACACTTTTTCTTACTTAAAAATTTGCATGATAATAATTTCTCTCAAATTGACAGGAGTCTGATTTGATACAAGAATGGGTAGCTAAACTTTTGTTCTTAATTTTCCTTCTGTAATGCTTGAACTTAATTTGGACTTTAGGAGCTACTTTGAGATGGACTGTCAGACTATCCCCCCTCGCAACCTGAGACAACTAGTTCACAGATTGGTGTAACAGTCTTTTCTATATTGTCCTGAAATTGCTTCATATCAGGGCACTGTGTTTCCCCCTCTCTCTTTGGGCTGGCTTCTTTTCTTTGACTCAGCTGATGTAAAGTTCTGGTGGAGCGTTTTTTCTTTGATCAGTTCATCAGTCTCTTGTTAGTGTCTCTTTTGAATGTCTCTGAACAAATGTAGCTTTTTCAGTCCTCAGTAAATCCTGGGCAAAAAGTTCATGTCACAAGTGTCCACAGCCATTTTGCTCTTTGTATTTCAAACACCTTTCCATTTGCCAGTGTACTCAGAGATGTCTGGTAGGTACAAGACTACAGTCCCCCAAAGTTCATCCCTATGTCCTCTTAATTAATATATATAGAATTTAGCTCATGACTCTTTTTTTTTTCCCATTTTTTCCTTCATCAAATAAAGACTCCTTTTATCTATTTCTTTTATTAATTAATTTATTTATTTATCTATTTTTGTTTACTGTTTAACAACTTATTTTTTCTAATTCTCAATCATTTTATCATATGTAAATATGCTTAATTTTCTATTTGTTAAATGTTCTTATAGATAATTTCTTTGGCTTCAGATTGTGCTTCACTTATTTTTCCTAATTTATTCTAGTGCTTCCTCACTAGTTACATTACATCTTACATTATTTTAATATCTCTAACATTTCCATACCTGTTTTAATTCAACAGTACTATATGGTGGCCAAATGTCTAATATACCTCAGGGTCCCCGCGGGTCCTTAAAAAGTCTTAAAATGTCTTAAATAAAATTTTCGATTTTTAAGGTCTGAAAATGTCTTAAATTCTGTAATTTTCCATAAGGAGGTCTTAAATTTCATGTGGGCTCTTAAATATGTCCGACTCGTCTTATGGCGGCAAATCAATGCCAATATAAATCGAGCGCAGCGGTGATGTTTGCGCGTGAGGAGAAGTGAACCGTGAGCAGATTACAGGTCTACACGCGAGAAAATTACAGCTCGCGAGCGCACAGGGGATCTTCACGCGCGCGCTCAACTGATCCAGCGCGAGAAAACAAGTCCCGCGCGCGCACATTATCATCTGTGCGCACGATGTACGCTCTCGCGAGCGAGGTCATGCCGACAGCGCGCGCGCGATCAGTTCTCTACGCTCGTTTGCTGGTTCTTCTCTCTGCTTGCGCGAAACATTTTGGATTTTTGTGAGTCCTAGGGCGGGACTTGATTTTCTTGTTATCTCTAACGCTATTGGCTACTCTACCTTTCCAGAAGTTAGCCGGGATTGGACGCAGGTAAGCTAGTTTCCCCGTTAAATAAAAATATATAGGAAATCTTATCATAATGTCACAGTGTGAAACATAGACTTACTTTCTCAGTAATAATAGGTGACGACTTACTTTCAATAATGAGATATTTCTTGTAATAATTAATCTCATAATAATGCCTATTCTTACCATCATGACCAAGTCATATAATGACATATCAAAATAATGAGATATATTCTTGTAACAAACTTTATTACTTGGGAGAGAAAGAGAGAGTTATACCATGTGGCAAAAGATCTCTCCATTAAACAGAAATTGGGGAAAATATACATGGGCTATTAAATCAGGACGAATAATTCAGACTTTAAATGTGTTTTGAACCATTTGATGAAGTTTAGCACCTACATTTAAACGGAACTCAAGCCAAACGTGTTCAAATTTATAAAAATCTTTTTTTTTCTCTAAGATTCATGGTCCTTGACTCATTTTCTGTGAAGAACAAGTCAGAATAAATTGGATGGACAATAGTATACAAAATAGGCTATAAAGTGCATAAAGTACAAAGGTTTATAGTAAATATATTGCCATTAGTCTGTCATTCCACTAAACAGTTAAAGTCAGAATTATTAGCCCGCCTGAATTATTAGCCCCCTGTTTATTTTTATCCTAATTTTTATTTAACGGAGAGAAGATTTTTTTCAACACATTTCTAAACATTATAGTTTTAATAACTAATTTCTAATAACTGATTTATTTTATCTTTGCCATGATGACAGTAAATAATATTTGACTAGATATTCTTCAAGACACTTCTATACAGCTTAAAGTGACATTTAAAGGCTTCACTTGGTTAACTAGGCAGGTTAGGGTAATTGGGCAAGTTATTGTATAACGATGGTTTGTTCTGTAGGCTTTCGAAAAAAATAAATAGGTTAAAGAGGGTAATAATGGACCTTAAAATGGGTTTTAAAAACTTAAAACAGCTTTTATTCTTGCCGAAATAAAACAAGAAAAAAGTGGGCTACTAATTTTGACTTCAACTGCATATGTGACCTTTAAGATGTGGGCCTGTCGTATAGAAAGTAGTATTTGTATGCCTCTAAAGTGGAATGATGTAATGGATAGTGAATAAAGCCAAACGAAGATTGTAGAAATTAAATTGTTGCTCAATAGGTGGCGATAAAAACCCATCTGAATGTCTGTCACTGTATTTTTTATGTTTAATTGGGCTAATCATTTTTAATTGAAGTCTTTATATGCAGGTTATTCAATCACTAACTAAAATGAGATTGAAAAATATATATAATATATATATATATATTTTACACTGATCTATATTACAAACAATGTTAACAATTATAATAATATACAAAGCTGCACTGCACATATAGTATGCATTGTATGGAAAGATCTAAAACGCAAATAAACTCTTCTGAAGACAATATTTCCTAGAAAGATCATCCCCAAGTGTAATAATGAGCACTGCTGTTGTGGCTAATAATGAAGTAAAATACAACAAACCAGACAAGTGCTGCACGGACAAACCAAATGGGTTCAGAAAGTCATGTTACAAGAATGCAAGTCATTATTTTGGATATTATTTGACTGTTTCTCGGGATTGAATCCTCATAAAGTTCATAAAGTTCTCAGAAAGTTTCTTATGATTATGACTTGCAAATTGTATATATATTTAACGGCGTGATCTTTTAACTTGCGTCCAATCCCGGCTAACTTCCGGAAAGGCAGAGTAGCCAATAGCGTTAGAGATAACAAGTAAACCAAGTCAACCAAATAATCTGCTCACGGTTCACTTCTCCTCGCGCGCAAACATCACCGCTGCTCTCGATTTATATTGCCATTGATTTGCCGCCATAGATTTGCCGCCATACTTCACCACATCATTCTGTGTTCACACTGAACATTTTCCTGTTTTTTTTTTTTTTTTTGTTTTTTTTTTAGGTAAAGTCTTAAATTTTCATTTTAGAGGACTTAAAAAGGTCTTAAAAGGTCTTAAATTTTCTGTAAAAAAATGTGCAGATACCCTGTACCTATTCAAAATCCTTACTGCAATAGCTTCAAGTTCATAGTACTATTTTAACTCTACATGTTTGTTTACTTTAAGCATTTTTCCAATCTGAAATGCAATTTTTAATTTTAAATTAATTTTTAGGTACATAAAATATTAATTATATATAATTTTTGAACTCACTATGATGTTCTTTCATTTTTCCTCAGTGTCTATGCTTTACATCTGACTCACTGCTTTTACTACAAATAGCTGTTGGCTCAGATGACAGCCTGTAGCTGACTTTAAAACAGATGACAACAGTCAACTTACTCCACAACAATTTTTTATTGCACTTAAACATAATTTTATCTTTTAAAGCCAAATCTTATTGTCTTTAAAATGTTACTGTTTTTTCTAATTTTTATCTTATATTTCTTTATAATATATATTTTTAAACATCTTCTCTTTTATTCTATTAAACAATGTTTGGACTTCTTTTTTCTCCATTTTCCTATGCTTCTTTTCCTTTTCAAAAATTAGCATTTTTATCTCTTAGATTTTCCTAATTAATTTTTTTAAGCTTATTTTCCTTAAACATTTGATCATTAACTCTTTAATTAATCAATATTCATTAAAGTTTTTTCTTTTAATTCTTTATTTACTCAAATTATTAACTTATCTTTTTTTTTATACTGATTTAGTACATTTGTTTCCTGATCACTTTAACAATTTATCTCCATATGTAGTTAGTTTTATGAATTTCTTAATATTTATTAGTATAGCTTCAAGTTGCATTTTTATTAACACTTTTTATTTATTAAATCTTATTCTATCATTAATATTTTTCTTATTTCATTTATCTTATTACATTACTTTATATTTCTATTTATTTAATACCTTATAATATATCTTTACTCTTTAGCTTCTATCTGTCCTGTGAAACTTTTGTTCTTAAAATAGACAGATTCTTACCACTCCTGAAGCAGACCTTCTTCCAGACTGTCAACATGTCAGGAATTTCAGTCACCTCTCTGCCTAGTTCATACTTAAAAACACTTCAAACACACAGAGATTATTCAGAAAAATGTTTAACTAGTATATATTCTTCTTTTCAGTCTGTGTCTTTCAAATGCAATATGATCTCAATTAATTTTATGAGGCTTAAACCTCCTTTGTATCACAATCTCTTCCCTAAACTGCATCACTCTCTATCTTATTGTTCTTAAATCACACAACATATGCAATCTTCCTTTTATATTATTATATAAAACGATAATTCTTTTAAACTCACTCTTATTGCAAACATACTTCTAAACACAATCATACTTCTCACTCATCCTAACCTCATCTCTTACACTGTGTAACCTGAACCTCACCTCTATTCTAGTCTCTTTAGATCAAAGTTGAAGCTTCTAAGCACCCCAGCAACACAGACAAATACACAAATACTTACAATTACATAAATACATCTCACTCCTCTTGAGTGACCTGTCCGAACAGCCTCTAACCTTAGAGCTGTAACCACAGAATTCTTCACTACACTCCTCTTGAGTGCCTGTTACTTCTGCTCCCGTCTTTACTGTCCTTCAGTAAAAATAGCATTTCACAGGATTTTTGCCTTTTTTCCCCCAGCCTCCTGAATAATAATATTTATTATTATTAAAACAGAACGGGTACTCCGAGGTCTTTGCGCGCTTCTCTCTATACTTTATTAATCTGCTTTAATCTCTTAACTGTCACCACACTTTAAGAACTTCCTCTTAAAACTTAAAAATGCTCTATGCATATTCTTCATTATTAAAAATTTCCCAAACATGAGTAACAGTTACTAGTTAACGTTTATCCTATCCGTCAAGGCCCTCTTAGGAAAACACAGATCATTTGCATGCAAATTGTTATTTTCTTCTGGTATTCAAAACCCCATTGTTTTCCTTTTATATCTTTACTTTTACTTTTTTAGTTTTACTTGTAGTTCGTTATAGCTGGAGAAACAGTTCAAGTGACTTTTTACCGTTACAAGCAGGTCCTTGGTAGAAAAACACAAACGTATAAGCGAAAATTGCTTACCGTTTTTTATCGTGGCCACATATTTGTGTTTTTCCTCCAAGCCTCAGCATGTCCAGTGTCACTCGTTCGTCTCTGTCCAGCCCCACGTTGGGCGCCATTTGTCGTAAATTTTGACGACTAATCAATTACAAATTATCAGACCAGAGGTTTTGAATATCAGGAAATAGACTTTATTCTCCATAATAAAGCCGAGAAAGAGCAGAGCAGACCCCAGAGCATTCTGAAGTCTCTCCTGGACACCTTCTGAAGTCTCTCCTGCACCTTCTGAAGTCTCTCCTGCACCTTCTAAAGTTTCAGTGTGTTTGTTACAATTTTTATACAGGATTATTTGACACACCCCTAAGTCTCTTTTTAACTCTTGACCATTTTTGAATAGGTTTTTAGTCTAAGGGGTCCTGCTATTCTTGGCTCTCAGCCCACTAGCTCATGTCAGCAGAGATGTTACAGGTCTATGTCAGCAAAGTATAGATGCAACTTATGCAAACGGATTAAGTGTTTACATACATTGTTATGATAGGATAATAACTTGATAATATGTTACTCATTCTAACTTCTAAAAAAATATAGCTTCATACAAGTATTTAACATATATGATCAGTGCTTTACATATTCAGTTATTCTACACAATCAGTCACTCAGCCTTCTCCTAGTGTTGCTCCTGTAGGCATACTCATCTTACACAGACATATCACTGTATTTTTAACACACGCTGGCATGTTTGCTGCAAACACTACATACATTTTGTGAAGAGAAAATTAACTGCTTTACACTTAGAAAATACTTCACACTGAGAGAATAGAAATCTTCTTCATTAGCCATTTAGCAATGAAACTAGAGTCACTGGGCAGACAGAAGCCCTGCCCATCAGGCAAATCCACGTCTGTTCAGAAGTGAATTTGACACGTGAATGAAGTGGATATGACGCGCGACTGAAGCGGGGTTTGACCCGCGACTGAAGCGAGTAAACTCAAATGTTCCGCGTCTGGTGTGAATGCAGCATTAGTCAAACTTTTTAAAAAATTACAAAGTCTGAGATCTCCGAAGTCTTTTGGCAAAGCAGTTTACTGTTACAGCATCAGTAACAACAGAGACAGGTCATTCGAATGTCTGCCGAACATAGGCTTGCACACAGTTTAAATAAATTTCTGTGTCTTAATACTCCAACCAAATTTACACATTACACAGCTCCATCAACTTCTCCGCTAATGGGATCTTAAATCTCTCAAGTGCCCCCCACCAATAAAGTCTCATGGTCTTTCAGGGGTCTTACCCATATCCATTTAAGGTCTTTCCTTCCTGTTTCAAAAGTGATGACTCAAAAACAATGCTCAACAATATATCTTGTTCACTGTCCACTGAGCTGTCAACTGTAAGTTCAGCTGAAGTTCACGGGTACTCATATTTTTTTAGAAGTCATAACAAATGAGTGTGGGCGCACGTGGAGGTGTGCCTTATCATGAGTTACAGAACAGAACGCAGGTGTCCTTATGGCCTTGCTTCCATAAATCTACTCTCCTTGTGACATTAATGCTGCTCTTCTAATTTATCTTCTCGTCTCTGACTGCATTTACACAGAATGACTTGTTTTATTTACCAAAGCACACATACCTGATAATAATGCCACATGTATGGGTAAAAATACAATAGGTAATAATAATAATGCTGAAATCACTCAAATCAGCATATAAATGAGAGCAATACATTCATCAGAAATTTATCAAGACACAATAAATTCCCCAACAAGAGCTCCTCTCTCCGATATGCCTCATTCACACTAGCAGCGACTTTGTAGCTGCATGTCGCTCATAGTGTGAATGAAGCTTTAAACAGCAGTTGGGAAATCTTTGAAATCCCAAACATTTTTGTTGTTGTATCATTTCATAATTATTTTGCTAATAATTTTACCCTCAAGTGTATGTTGGCCAATTTCCCCAGATTTGTAATGGAAAGCATTGTAGTAAAAAAAAAATAGATTTAAGTTTTCAGAAAAATGTAGTGTTTGATATATTGTTTGAAAGTTAAGAAATTGAAGGGATAGTTAATTTTAAGAATATTTATTTTTACTCAACCTGTTGTTTTCCAATGCTTTCTTTTTGCCTTAATTACTACTATTTTTTATTTGTATCACATTATTATACAGTAAAAAGAGGGTGACATCCTAACATTTTGGCCAAATCATATAGTCATATAAAATCTAATTAAAAAAAGAAAATAAATTATTATTCTCCGCCCAAATGGTGCATCTCTTATGCCAGAATTTAAAGGGTATAAAACAAATTTGTGCGCATTCACATTATTCTGTATGCCGATCATCTGCATGGTATTGTCCCATTCAGGAGGGTGTGATCTCTTTGCGTACGGACCGCAGCACCCCACAGCTTTACCCCTGCAGTACACCCAGTTCAGAAGACCAGTGCAGCCCGCCTGAACCCCCAGCTCTGACCCCAGACCCCCACAACGCTCTCATGACCTCTCTTGTGCCCCCAGCTGCTGTACAACTCATGCCTCCAGGTATGACAGGAGTATAATGTGAACTCAGGAAAAAAATATAATTTCATTCTATCATCTAATTTAAAAAAAAGCAATCCAATATAGAATTTTCATGGCATTTTATATTCAGCGGGAAAAATAAGTATTGAACATGTCTGGGAATATTATTTTTAAAGGAGCTGGTGACATGAAGTCAACAGCACCTTTAGAAAAAGATTTCTGAGAAAAATGGTGATATATACTGAATACTGAAGCACTTCTTGTTATCCCTATTTGTACATTGCTTTAGATAAAAAGCTAAATGACATAATGTAAATGATTCACCATCCACTTTTATGACTGTCCCTGTAGCCCCTCCCACTATTCTTCAGGATGGGGCGGTTTCTCTTCAGCAAGTTCCGCCTCCAAGTGAAAGTGTTCCGTTCTACCCAGTGGCTCCAGGGCCGCCGCAGCCAAACTTTGTGGCTCCGTACCAACCTGAAATGCAAGAGCAGTACATGCCAATGCCACCCCAAATACCCCAACATATGCCCCCGCAAATGCCGACATACAACCCTGCAGAAATGCCTCCACAGATGCCACAAGGAATGCCTGGTCAGATGCCTCCACCGATGCACGGAGCCGAACGGGGCTCAGCTCCTTCCTCCCCTCAGCAGTTCCCCCAGCCGTCTCCAACGTTCGCTAACCCTCCTCCACCGGGGAAGGACTTCTATGATGAAATGGCACGTTTGGTGAGTTGGAAATGTTTAGAAAATTTGAATTCCTGTTGATTTTTTTACTCTATAATTTGCAACAGCTAACTGTGTTTTCATTTTTTACTTGTCGGTGTCCCAATTTATATTAACCCTTGTGTGCTTTAGGGGATGTTTTCATCCAGTCTGGCCTGATTTTTAGTCTTAATTTGCCCACAACTTTCTCTGTGTTTCAGCAAATTGAATGATTTTTGGTGACTAATTTTATTTTGACACGTTTTGGGGAAAATGCTTTGGAATATTAAAGAAAATTCAACAATACACTTTGGGATAATTGACTACCCTTTCGTTATGTTAGTGTCAGTTTTTGCCCCTTTGACTTCCATTATAATCACATTTTTGTATTGTAAAGCCATGACACCATATAATCATGCTTTGTTGATTGTTGGTGGTTTTCCCTGTTAGGATGAGGTAAAATGTTTAATTTTTACTGTTGATACATTACTGTTGTTTGTGTGTGTGTTTTTAAAGGGCCCAGGCAGAAGATCAAGAACAACTTCACAGTCATCAATGCATATGGTACTTTAACTGATTCTAATTCTTTGATTCAACACGGATGCTTTTAATGAATCAAAAGTGCCTGTAAATACATATATTATGTTACAAAATACTTGAAACTTTAATTTCATCCTAGAAACCTCTGAAAATTATCATGGTTTTTAATTTTAAAATTGTAATAATAAGTATTATCAATAATACATTCATTAATTTTCTTTCGGCTTAGTCCCTTATTTATCAGGGGGCACCACGGTAGAAAAAAACGCCAAATATTCCAGCATATGTTTTACGCACCGAATGCCCTTTCAACCGCAACCCAGTGCTGGGAAACACCCATACACACACGGCCAGTTTATTCAATTCACCTATGGCGCATGTCTTTGGAGGTAAACTGCAGCGCCCAGAAGAAACCCACACCAACACGGGGAGAACATGCAAACTAGCGACCTTCTTGCTGTGAGGCCACAGTGCTAACCACTGAGCCACCGTGCCGTCTATTATCAATAATAATAATAGTTTCAGTAATGTGGTCTTTTTTTCAGCAGTACATCAATATATTAGAAAGATTGCTGAAACATCATGTGACACTAAAAACTAAAGCGATGATGCTGAAAATCCAGCTTTACACTACAGGAACAAAATACATTTTAAATGTACGCAATGATTTTTAAGTAACAATATTTCATGGTATTACCATTTTTACTTTTTTGTTAGATGAATAAATGCAGTAGAGACTTCTTTTAGCAACATGGAATGTTAAAAAATAACATTTTGAAGATCATTTATAAAATTTCTTGTCCTGATTTATAGGCACCGGGTCGTCGATCTCGGACAACATCTGAATCGTCCAATCATTCTGGCCGGGAACGCAGCAGCTCATTTGCCAATCAGGGATCTCCACCCCCTCCACCAATCCCAGAGGCTCCACCACAGGATGTGCCAGAGAGAACCAAGAAAGACTCTCCTAAAAAAGTATGTACCTGCCTATAAACATATATTCACCCTTTAAACATGCATTTAGGAAATCTTTCATGATTGTAATGAGTGCTTCATAAAGCAGGGATCTGGTGGCGGCTTGCTGACCTGGCTGTTTCCAAAGCGGAAGAATGAAGCACATCTTCCAGACGACAAAAACAAATCTGTACGCATTTTCTGTTTGATATGTTTAAGCATAGTTTGTCTGAATATAACTGAATATAAGTGCTTATTTGTCAAAACCAATCACTCTATTTTTATTAATTTTCAGATATTATGTTTTCATGTTGTGTACAAATGCAAAAGAACATGATTTATGAAAATTACTTAAACTGAATTTTGTTTTAGTAATTTTTATAAGTATTGTTTATCCATTGATCATTAAAGAAAACAATTAAAATAAATACAGTGCTCAACATATTCAAGTACAGCCCATTTTGAAAATTAATATTTTGATTCATTTCTCAGTGGTGTATTTGAACAAAACAGATTTATAAAACAGATATATTTATTAAAATAATATTTAAGTCGCCGAACATCTTTAGAAATTAAAAGAAAATACATTTAAATTGATGTAAAATATCAGGAAAAAATTACAAACTACAAAATGACCTAATCAGGGATCAAAGAGGAAACACAAATTTCTCCATGACAGTAACAGAACAACATAACCCTTTGCCTTATCTTACAACATCCATATCAAAACTATATATAGAAGAGGGGGGTGGGGGTGTTGAGGCAATATTTAATTTTATTAATTAATTTTATTAAAATTAATCTTCAATTTCTATAGCAAAAAGACATTAGTTTGAATGGGAGTAATGTGCTCAATCCATTTGAACCAAAATTTAACAAATGTATTATTATGGTTATGCACACAGTATAAAATTTTCTCCATATTGAATATATTTTTCCAAAACATCAATCAAATCTTGCATTTGTGGTGGATTAGGTTTATACTAGAATCTAGTAATGGCTTTTTTACTTGAAGCAAGGACGACTCTATACATAATATATTTGTTTTTTTCCCCCAAGGAATCCATTGACAGCATACCCAAATAGAGTACCTCAAAAGTGAAGTATTTATCTTTTGGTATTGCCCAAAACTGCAGCAATTTTGGAATGATATCTATAAGGTACTTGGAGACATATTTTCTATTGATATTCCCTTTGATCCAACTGTGGCAGTCCTAGGTATGGCGCCTGAGAGCATGTGGGAAAGAAGAAGTCTTTATTTATTTCAAATACTGCTCTCTGCAGCACTAAAGTGTATTACGTATAACTGGCTCATATCAGACCCATCTATGTATGAACAATGAATAAATTTTTTTTTTAAATTTATAAAATGGAAAGAAAAACGTATTGCCTGAGACTCCATATGAATATATTTGAAGCAAGATGGAACCCAATTCTAACAATTATACATCACTAAACATACAACTCAGATTAAATAAAAAGCTACATTACATAGATCGCCCCCCCTTTATCTTTTATTTATAGTGTTCATTTTAATGTATTTTTATATATAATTTCAACACAATATATATTGTTTTAAAAAAAGAATGTGCAGATGTCCTTTTTTTCCCTTTCTCCCTAATCTTTTAAGTATCCATCTGTATCCTTACTGACTATTTTAATGTATCTCTGATTTTGTGTTGTGTTCTAATAATAAAAAAAAACTGTTAAAAAAAGTATTTAAGATATTTTTTAAATTGCTATGTTTACCTTTCTAAAAACTTATTAGGACATCCTCAAAATATGTGAAAATGGTTAGCTTCCTGAGATCCGCAATGCCTCCAACAATTTGAGTTCCCATAAAATGACATGCTCTCTCCAATACGGAGAACAGGAAGTTGCCCATTTTAATCTACTTATATTTACCCAATCCTCAGTTGAGAAGATAATACTACTTTCCTTCTCCCATCTTTCTACAAACTACAAAATTTCAACAATTTTATTAAATTTTTGCTTCTCGTGAATTTTCTTGCTCTTTTAATTTTTTATTTAAGATTTTTCCCCAGCATATGCATTTGGGTGCACTAATTTTAGAGCATTATCTTGAGTTATTTTGGTAGATAAGCTCTAGATTTGGCTTCAGTGCTGACTAATCTAATTTACATGCACAAATATAATACTGTATATAGAATTTCCTATAGAAAGTATTCATCTAAATGAGAGATTTGTAAAGGGGTGAACTCGTATATGTTGAGCACTGTATAGGTTTATGGAAATTTGCAAAAAGTTTGTTAATACTTCATATTGCAAATAGCCACAATATTTTGTTGAAAATATGAAGTATTAACAAACTTTTATTTTTGAATAATGGGGTGAAAAAACCTTTGGCTATATAAAAAAAATAAAGCAAAGATGAATTATGAATCTTATTTCTTTGATAGAAATGAATGCAAATTATGTCAATAATTTGCATACATTAAAATAATGCATAATACAAACAAATCTTAGTCATTTTTAATGTATTCAATCAACTGGGAAAGTGTGGTGTGAACTATTAGCTATTTTTTAACGCTGTTTATTTTTTTCAGATTGTGTGGGATGAAAAGAAGCAGAAATGGGTGAATCTGGATGAGCCAGAGGAAGAGGTAAAGTATGCAAATTTAAATAGTTCAGTCATTCATTTTCCTTCGGTTTAGTCCCTTTATTCATCTGGGGTTTCCACAGCGGAATCAATCGTCAACTTATCCAGCACATGTTTTAAACAGCAGAAGCCCTTCCAGCTGCAACCCAGTACTGGAAAACATCCATGCACACTCATTCACACACATACACTATGGCCAATTTAGTTTATTCAATTCACCTATAGCGCATGTGTTTGGACTGTGGGGGAAACCGGAGCACCCGGAGGAAACCCACACCAACACGGAGAGAACATGCAAACTCCACACAGAAATGCCAACTGACCCAGCCGGGAGTCAAACCAATGATCTTCTTGCTGTGAGGCGGCAGTCCTAATCACTGAATGAACTGTTGAATGTGTAATGGTGCTTGTGTGTGTGTTTCAGAGTAAACCTCCTCCTCCCCCACCCACCGGCTTCCCCAAAGCTCCAATGAGCGCTCCAGCTATGGTACCTCCAGGAGTGGCCGGCCCACCATCAGGGCCTCCTGTGAACATGTTCTCCAGAAGAGCAGGTGCCGTTACCAGGAATTATACCTCTTTTACCCTTCTAACCACTTATGGAAATCATATATATTTGATTATGATTACAAAAGAGAACCACTGGAATTCATTTAGTTCATCAGTAGTTTACACTCCACAGAAATATATGCATGTTTAGAGCAAGAATAATGTGGTGACGCATTATAAGACACTTCCGTGCTACTTATTAATATTAATCTATTAACTTTGTCACAATCCTAGGATTTGCACATTTGTCCATTCATTCACTAATTTTCCTTTGAGTTAGTCCCTTATTTATCAGCGGAATGAACCGCCAACTATTCCATCATATGTTTTACACAGCTGATGCCCTTCCAGCAGCAACCCAGCAGCAACCCAGTACTCACATTCACACACAGTCATACACTACTGCCAATTTAGTTTATTTAAGTCACCTATTGTGCATTTGTTTGGACCTGGAGCACCCGGAGGAAATCCACGCCAACATGGGGACAACATGCAAACTCCACGCAACAAAATGCTGACCCTCCCAGCCGGGACTTGAACCAGTGACCTTCTTGCTGTGAGGCGACAGTGCTAACCACTAAGCCATCGCGCTGCCTGCATTTAATATTACTTGCCTTTATTTATTACTAATTTAACTAGTCTGATGTGAGCTTGGGTTTGGCTCATAAAAAATGAAAGGAAATATGTGTAAAATAATAATCTGTGTGTGTTTCAGGCACGAGGAGTCGTTATGTGGATGTGCTGAATCCTGGTCGTGGAGGAGCTAAAGCAGTGGCTTCAGTGCCTCCTCCTGCTGATCTGTTCGCTCCTCTCGCACCCATGGCCATGCCAGCCAACCTCTTCACACCAGCTGCAGGTGTGTGTGTGTGTGTGTTTGTGTCTGTGAGTCTGGCACTGTGTGTGTCCTACTGTGCATGTCGCTGTCTGAATGCACATGGCTGTGTGTGTGTCACTGTGTGTGTATGCGCATCACTGTGTTTGTGTGTATGTATGCGAGTACATCAGTGTATGTTTGTGAGAAGTGTAACACTGTTCTTTCAGCCCCAGATGAGCAGCAGCCGATGGAGGGAAGTGTTCCAGACACCAGTGGAGAAAACACACTGCAGACAAGTGCCACAGTGCCACAGGTACACACACACCTGCCCTATAACCAGGGTGGGAATTACTAATTAACGATTGATCCCCCCTGAAGGACGTCAAAACAAGATGTATGGTGGGAGTCAGTCCTTTAATACTGAGAAATGTTTCACTCTGATCTGTGTTTTAAATAATAATGTTATTAATCAAAATAATTGATAAATATACATTTGACCACCCCTAAAACCATTGGGAAACATAATCACACCAATCAGTCTATTCTAGGAAAAACTCTGAAATTGGATGATCTAGAGCAGGGGTCACCAATCTCGGTCCTGGAGGTCCGGTGTCCTGCAGATTTTAGCTCCAACCCTAATCAAACACACCTGAACAAGCTAAGCAAGGTCTTACTGGGTATACTTGAAACACCCTAGCAGGTGTGTTGAGGCAAGTTAGAGCTAAACCCTGCAGGGACACCGGCCCTCCAGGACCAAGATTGGTGACCCTTGATCTAGAGCACAGGTAGACATCGTGTTCTCAAGACTTTGATTTCAAAATAGTTGTTGGTATCTACATTTAGCCTGAAACTAAAGTCAAATTAGATGCATAATAACGTTTGTAGTTTGACCTACAGTAGCATCTGAAATTGCTAATCAAAATACTGTAGCTCAGAATACACTAGGCCAGGGGTGGACAACCCTGTTCCTGGAGAGCCACTTTCCTGCAGATTTCAGTTGCAACCCATATCAAACACACCTGCCTGTAATTATCACGTGGTGTTCAGGTCCTAATTAATTGGTTCAGGTGTGTTTGATATGGGTAGCAACTGAAATCTGCAGGAAGGTGGCTCTCCAGGAACAGGGTTGGCCACCCCTGCACTAGGCATAAAAATTAGAGCTGAAGATATTTGCCAGAACCGACGGGACACTGGTTTAATTTCGAAAATTTTAGATGGGGTCGGACCGGGCTTGGCTTGCGCGGTAAATGAATAGTCATGTGATGCATTTTGATTAGCGCGAGAAAGTAATCAAATCATGTGTTACAACATTAAAATCCATCCCTGCAAAGGTAAAATAAATAATGACGGATTAGTTAAAAAGAGCTAATTTTGACTGCGGTCAGGCCAGCTGCCAGTCCAAAAAGAACGGTCATTCTATCCGAGGTATTTCAGCGGTCACTCATACACTGCGTGTTACAGTAGAGTGCTAAACAGCAATGTATGTACAGCAAGCTGACAGGGAAAATGACGAGGTCACTTGCTACACTGAAACTGCTGTCATGGAAAATTAAATGCATGTTCTTGACTGGTAGAGGATGAGCAAACAATCCTACCCAAAACTTGCAAAATTAGCCAGATCAGTACTATGCATCTCGGCCTGTAGCAGCAGCAGTGAAAGGGTTTTTGGTGCTGCTGGACGCACCATCCTGAGCGCAGGACTGCGCTAAAGCCATTCACAGTGGATTCAATAATGTTCCTTCACAAAAACACGTAGCCTAACCTTGATGAGTAAAGGGTTTTTAAATTATAAATAAATATTAATGAAACCATAAATGCATAATGTAGCCAGAGTAGACAGGCTAATGTTGGCAATATTTTTTAATATTCAGCTTCACCGTCGCCTTAAGGCCAGATTGTGAAGAGAAATTGCGAAACAAATCCTGCAGAGCCTTTATTCTAATTTCATTACTGCCACATACCCATCATAATTTATAATTTGTTTTAATTTAATTTGTTAAGAAAGACTTCTTTTGATTGGTGTGTTGGCCAATGTAAAGTCTATGTACCCAGGCCTATTTAGAGTGCTGAGATATTACTATGTTACAGAAGACTTATTTTATTTCTTTGTTCCAACTTCTAAGTGGTCTATAGCCTATGTTTGTTATGAATAAATTATGTTAAACATATAAAGGACTCATTCATGAAGAAAGGCAAATGAGCTGTGTGACTGTGCACATTTGAATAATGTCAGGCTATAAACGGGTTCGGGCTTTATAAACCTGTCAATTAAAATGTACCTGTCGGGCTCGATTCATTTTTACGGCCCGATTACAGCTCTACTAAAATTCCCTCAAAACGCTGGAAACTTAAATATGTTTTATTAATAAACTAGATGTCATTAAAAATAAATGCATAAATGACTGAAGCGTGTTCGTCTGTGTATAATTTGCACACTGCCTATAACCTAGTTTTACCTTATTTTCCTCTCACATATGTTGCATGCAGGAGTTTGTGTCTACTGCCTTGTTTATCATGCACTTTTTGACACTTTTAGTTAAATGTCTGAAGGGTAAAACGTTGCTTAAATATATATATATATATATATATATATATATGAAGAATAATTAGGTTCAGAAGTTTTATTTAATAGATAATGAAAAGGTTATTGGCTATTTTGGCTGTGTGGATCCAGATACAGTAACGGCAGACAATAAATACTTCATGCGTGCTCTCATGGCTGCCAGCAAAAAAGTAATCATACGTAAATGGCTACAGCAAGAGCGACCAACCCTTAGGAATTGGGTAGACGCAACTATTGAGATCTATAAAATTGAAAAAATCACCTTTGTTGTCAATTTAAAGAAGGATATATTCCTGAGGAAATGGGTTGAATATATTTTAGTTAGAAGACCTGACTTTGTTGCTATAAATGAATAGAAGATGATGTTCTGACAGATAAATATATGCTAATGTATGTACATGTATATGGTTACACTTATTCATATTATAATGTGTCCCCATGTGTATAATGACGATGGCCATTTGAGATTACTCTTGAAGGAATTACTTACTATGTAGTAAATCCACCTGACAATAATGTACGTAACTTTTATACCACCTAAGTTCACATACTGAGATACCAATATACCTTGAAATGCTGTATAACTACTCAATTGAATGTTCAAAATAAACATAAAATAAAAAAATAAAAAAGAGAAGGTTATTAGCTGGTAAATAAAAAAAATATATATTTTTTTAAATGTCACTTTAGACAATTTTTTGGACAATTATTGGCATTTGATTATTTTATTTTAAGAGCATTTTGGCTTGTGAATATTCATTGCTTTATTCATGCCTCTATAAAGAGTATGTATCTTTCTATGTAGATGTTTAATCCGAATGCTGCTTTGCCTCCCGGCCCGGAGGGAACCCAGTCTGGAGAGGTCAGATTATCCTTTAATACTCCATTACTTCTTCCCTAAAGCCACTTCATCCAACCATGCCCTGCTCTTTCACCCATGAATGCAGATTAACACACTTATAACAGCACATATGCTCGTATTTAATACATCAGAAACACACACACACACACAATTAATCCTGCAAATGTAACTATATTCCTGATTAATTATTCATTATGATGAGTGTGAGTGTGCGCATGAGTGTGTCTCGAGAGCAAGAGCGCATGTTGAAGAAATACTTACTACTGAGGTGTTACAATGGAGACTTTTGAGTGTGATGAAATCATGATGATGTGTGATTTAACATGGCGCTGCATGGGATTAATTCGGGATTGTGGTGTTTTTTTGTTTGTTTGTTTCGTTTATTCCTGCTGCTCTAGCTGTCACGTTCTAGCTCAATGAGTTCTCTATCGCGAGAAGTGAGTCAGCATTTAAATCAGGTACTTTCAGCTGGTTTTTATCTGAAACACACACACATTTTCCAGACACTGCTTTAAAGTGCTGCGTAGTAAAACACGTGCACGCTTCTGATGTCACACACTTGTGGCCACACCTCCAGCACTGCCTGACTGACTACTTGGCCAGTAGGAAAGGCTCTTGGGTGTGCTGAAGTTTGAGGCCACACCCTCTTTTGGTCCATGCACATATTAACCAATCACATGCTGCATGCTAATCACGAATGTCAGTCTGTATGTTTGGGTAGAGATGTCATTCTCCTGTTCCAATGGTAACCGCTAATGTGTCCTCATAGGCTCCTGCTCAACAACCAGTGCAAGGAGCTCCGCCTGCAGGGGGTGTGACCTTTTATAACCCCTCCCAGTTTGCACAGGTAGGAAACACAAGGAGCATTTATGAAGAACAGAGAGCCATTACAGCTCAAAACGTTTGATGTATAAATGACAACACTGTAAAAATATACACAAAAACAGCTGAACTATTGGCTGAACATGTCATAGACAATCATATTTTTGTCATTTGAGATGCTGTTTTCAAATGTTAACTAGATTTATCAGGCCCCGAATCATAATTGGCGAAATGAAAGGTAAAAACTCTTAACCATTCATAAACACAGTCACTTGCTTCTTAATGGCGGTGGGTGAGGAGATTCACCCCAATATGTAAAGCACTTTGAGTATATAAAAAAGTGCTTTATAAATGTAAGGAATTTTTTTATTATTATTATTATTTTTTTTTACTAATGAATCAGTAGATTTAAACAAATCCTTTGAGTAAATAAATGATTCAGTGATTCACTCATTAACACAGGGACTTGCTGCCCCCTACTGGTAACGACAGGCCTTAACAAGTACAAGAAGACTCAACAAAATATGAATTTCTTGAAATATCTCCCAGAATTTTAAGATGTATTTTTTTAAATACAGCGTTTCCTCGCTACAACACAGTTAACTTTTCGCAGCCTCACAGTTTCACAGATTTTTTTTCGTGCAATTTGACATGCTTTTTTTCTACAGTGCATTGTATTCTGCATCATGAGTGGCTGTAGATGGGTGCGGGGAAGAAAACGAAAAATAACGGCCGTTAAATTATAGAAATTTACTGTAAAATAATGGACGTTAAAGTATAGAAATTTACTGTAAAATAATGGACGTTAAAATATAGAAATTTACTGTAAAATAATGGACGTTAAAATATAGAAATTTACTGTAAAATAATGGACGTTAAAGTATAGAAATTTACTGTAAAATAATGGACGTTAAAATATAGAAATTTACTGTAAAATAATGGACGTTAAAATATAGAAATTTACTGTAAAATAATGGACGTTAAAATATAGAAATTTACTGTAAAAAAATGGACGTTAAATTATAGAAATTTACTGTAAAATAATGGACGTTAAAATATAGAAATTTACTGTAAAATAATGGACGTTAAAGTATAGAAATTTACTGTAAAATAATGGACGTTAAAATATAGAAATTTACTGTAAAATAATGGACGTTAAAGTATAGAAATTTACTGTAAAATAATGGACGTTAAAGTATAGAAATTTACTGTAAAATAATGGACGTTAAAATATAGAAATTTACTGTAAAATAATGGACGTTAAAATATAGAAATTTACTGTAAAATAATGGATGTTAAAGTATAGAAATTTACTGTAAAATAATGGACGTTAAAGTATAGAAATTTACTGTAAAATAAGGGACGTTAAAATATAGAAATTTACTGTAAAAAATGGACGTTAAATTATAGAAATTTACTGTAAAATAATGGACGTTAAAGTATAGAAATTTACTGTAAAATAATGGACGTTAAAGTATAGAAATTTACTGTAAAATAATGGACGTTAAAATATAGAAATTTACTGTAAAATAATGGACGTTAAAGTATAGAAATTTACTGTAAAATAATGGACGTTAAAGTATAGAAATTTATTGTAAAATAATAGACGTTAAAATATAGAAATTTACTGTAAAATAATGGACGTTAAAATATAGAAATTTACTGTAAAATAATGGACGTTAAAGTATAGAAATTTACTGTAAAATAATGGACGTTTAATTATAGAAATTAACTTCAATTTTAATTTCTGGTAAATTTCTGTAATTCAACTTCTGTTATTTTACAGTAAATATCAGTAATTTAAAGGGCCATGAAACCCCCCTGTTTCAGCAGGGTTTTTTCACACCTCTACTTTGGAAAAAGTCAGAAAAGTGGGCGTGTCCAAGTTTGTTTAGGGGGGAGCTAAAGAGGGAGGGCCTGTAAAAATTGCATAAAAATGGGAGTGTCGGTTTGGGCACACGCTGATTTTCTCAGAGGCAACACACACATACACAGGGGAGAAAGTAAGTGACTGTGTTTACTTGGACATCAGTAATCAAATTATTTGACAAGTTATTAAATGGTGGACTTTAACTGCAGTTTGGCTCTTTTATTAAGGAATTTCATGCATACCCCTCGTGACAAATGAGATATTTGATTTGAGGAACTGCTCTAAGCATGTATTTTTCATGCAATGTTTGTTCGCACGGCGAATGAGAGAAAAAAAAAAAACTCTGCATTTCCCGGAAACTTAGATGCACACGGCAAGTAGCGTCAAAAAGCCGTGTATGTTATTCCTGTCACAAAATGCGGTGAAAATCCTACACGACGGCAAGTTTGATTGTGGTGCTAACATGTTTACACTCGGTGTAATAGTTAGTTCGATACAAACTAACTTTGCCATCTGAAAAAACAAACAAAGAGCACTGGTCGCTTACTTACCAAATCTGTAGAGACAGGACAATCACCACCAGCTAGAGCCTCATCTTTATTATAAGGAGACGAGCAGCAAATACGGATCTCACCATTTCCAGATGAGAAAAGCTCTCGGCTTAAAAAATGTTCTTAAAGCGTATCGTTATTGAGCATCGCGTGCACTTTAATCCACACGTGAGTCCAGCTGCGCTCTCATAGAGAGAAAATGAAAACGAAACTTTCACTGCAGCAAATTATAAAAGCAACACTGCACGCTTGTTTTGGCAACACAACAAGGCGTCTCTCTGCCATCTGAACACTGCAACCTGTAAAAACAATCTTGCAAGGTATCATGCATATTAATGAAGTTGCTTCAACTTAGAGCGCACTGATTGGTTTGAACCAAGTCATGAATGAATGCAGCACACTCAGAGACGTAATAAGGTACAGACGTCCAGTCTTCACACTAGAATACATGCTAAGATCTCATGGCCGTGACGCAGCATAAAAAATTAGTTTCAAACCGGAAGAACGAATTTGCCCGATATAACGCAAAAACAACCAATTTTCACTTTTTAGTAAAACATATGTGTCCTAATAGTGTTTTTAGCAGCGTGGGACACAAATACGTCTGTCAACAGCTCAAAAAATGTGTTTTGGTGTTTCGTGACCCTTTAACGGTTTATTTTTGGCACCCTTGCTGTAAAATGATGGATTTTTTTTTTTACAGTGTCCATCAAAAAGTGTGACCATGCAACAAGCTAATCCATCAAAAAAATCTCCCTAAAATGAAGGATTCAAACCTCATAATTAAATAGAAAATGAGCCGAATAACTGCAAAAAGATCCACTTTTTAAGAAAAAAATAATAATAATCACCCGTTTCACCAGGGGTCCGTTCTTCGTACGTGGATTACTCAGTTAGCTGGATTTGGATGTTGACGATTTGACACGATCCAGGATCGTTTCGTTCTTCAAAGCTGATCCGAGAGTTGTTGTCATGGCAACAGTTCTGCTAGGTCAAACCTGATCGGGAGCAGGTTCAATTCATATAAACAGGATTAGATCGGCTCAGTTCAAGCAAAGATAATACAGAAAGTATGTTCCGAATTCTGATATTTTCTTACAGTTGTAGTTATATACACTTGGGAAAATGGTACATATTTTTTAACTATATATATAAAGTTATAGTCATTAATAAAATAAATAAAGTTATACATATTAATAAAACTTATGCAATCTGCACCCTCGAAATGAAAGTACAAAGACTGCCATCTGGTGCAAAGAGAAAACTTATTGATATGAACTTTTTAGATCGCTTTAGTACAAATTGTGTATAATAGAAATGCACAATATGTGACTTTTTTTAAAGCAATAATACATTTATGCAGTCATAAACATGTTTTGATAGTTAATATGCCAGTGATTTGATGCTTCACAAAAGTTGCAGACACCTTTACCAATATGAAAATGCTTTTGTAAACAACCAGTTATTCTTTACACCGATTAAAAAACGGCTACTATAATAAAGAAAATCTTTTCTAAATGTAGAACTAAATACATTGATTTGCATTGAAATACATGATGAATACTCTTGTCTTGACAAATGAAAGTGTAAAGCCTGCAGCTCACAACAAATGTGTAAAGTTATTGCGCGTCATATTTAACAAACCGTCGACTGCTAATTTGATGTCATTTTGCTCACATGGATAATTGAATATTAATCAGATGATGTCATTACGCTGCTGTGCCGTCAGCCAATCGTTGCATTGCTGATCATGATTTCGAGGATCGATAGATCTGTCCTTCATAACACACGCAGCGATCTCAGATCAGTTCATCCAGACATTCTAATCTGATTCGCGAACTCGTTTGAAGAACCAAATTAGCGAGAGATAAATTATCAAGATTAAAAGATCCAGGATCTGCCAAATAATCTTAGATCATTTAAGCGAGGTACGAAGAACGGACCCCAGGCTGGCTACAGGTTTTGCATGAGAACCTCATTAAGTAAACGTGCATATATTATCACAGGATGAAATTAACATATATAAATGTGTTTCTCTCTCTAATCTCCAGTCTGTTCCCACAAACCGTACTCGCCCTGGGCGCCTGGGACAGAGAGGATACCCAACACCGAAGTAACAGTACCGCTGTAGTTCTAGATCAGACTGTGGTTCTAGATCATGAAGTTCGGACTCCTGGAAGCGCTGGCATGTGGCCATCCAAACCCTTCAAATAACACTGTCATAATCGATGTTTGCAATTGGACGAGACTCTGTTTCTCCATACGGCCTGTGTGTTGTGTGTACGGACCGGGCGGCGCTTCCTCAACATGAGCAGTGTGAATTAAAAGTGCAATATTGCGATTTTTAGCCCTGTGTAGATTGATTTCGCTAGTGTAGTCTGCTCATTTCAGCAGGATGTCTGCAAGTGTGTATGAGCGCATGTGCGTTTGGAGGAAACGTGGCCGTGTCCTGCTAACGGAAAGCATGAGTTTGAGGGCGGACAGGCCTGTTATCATGGGAACAGTGCAGCGTACCAGAATGTTTTAGATATTTATTAAGCTTCCTGTCAGAATGAAGCGGCCCGTCATGAGTACGAGTTTAGTGTCTTTTTACCATCTCCTGGTCAAATCCTGTAATTTCGCCAGTAGCTACAGAATCATACGTTTCTATGATTTACCAAAATCCTGTGATCATTTGTGTGTATTGCTCATAAAATATCATTATTATTTTCCCTGGCTTCTCATCGCGCACTCTGATTGGTCGTCGTGTCTCTTAATCACACGCCGTTATTTCCTTTGCTTTTTGCCATGCTGGACAGCGGAGGTTTTTTGTAATTCCAAAGGTCAGCTCTGTTTGAAGGAAGCTTGGACTTTTCCAATGTGTTTAGAAATTGACTGTACAATTCTTGATAAAAGTGATAATAAAGATATTTTTGAGCTCTTTAAGGCTTTGGAAAGTGTTATTTCTTTATTTATTTTTCCACTTTTTTAATCCCCACCCCCTCTTCAATATTCTGTTTTAGTTGGAAATGTATGGGATCAAATCACCAGCTGAAGTATTGCGGTCACAGATAGAAAAGTAATGAGCGCAAATCAGAAAATTGACAAATCGATTGTAAAATTAAAACATCCAAAAGTACAAACTGAATTTTCTATAGACCATTTCAATGCGGTGGTGTTATTCACCTTATTCTCAGCTGTCGAGTGGGCGCTGCCATTTGAATCTTTTTGTCTTGCGACTTCCGGTCACATTCACTTTCATTCATTTTTTGACGTTAAAAACTGCTCGTTACGCTGCTTGATGTTGCAATTTAATATTTTCTTATTATATTATGCTACTTGGTCTGTGTAGTCATGCAAACATTTGTTTGTTGAGCGAGTAGTTTGACCGTTTTTGCCGTTTATTATTCCTAGTCATTTCTCCCATAGGCGACTAAATCGGAAGTTCTAAGACAATCGCGAAAACAGGCGCACTTCCGCATTTTAGAATAAGGTCAATTGGCCTGTGAACATTTCCTGCTTATCATAACTGTAACAAAAGATGCTTCAATCATAATGTAACAATAAAACAGCTGTCATAACATTATTTATCAATAGGGTATTTTCGGAAACTACATTAGGAACAGTGTTATTGCTTACATCCCTTAACATGCTCTATTTACCTTGCCCAACTCTACACTTAACCCTAGCGATTACAGGAAACTCTGTGCAGTTTTACTTTCTAAACAAAGCTCATTCTTTATGATTTATATGTCTTTTGAAAAAATGGAGAAGTACGTGTCCTCATAATTCACTACATTTTTTGTAATACTTGTGTCACCCATGCCTTTATACACATTTGAGTCCTAATATGTCACAATCACACACACAAACACACACACAAACAAACAATAATATGCTAAAAACCTGTCAGGGTATAATAGAATAATGCAGTCTGACTGTAAGTCTAAAACTCTCTGAAATGCTCATTTGCTGTTTTGGTAAACTCACAGAAGGCGATGTGTAAAAATGGGTGCAGAGAAATCCTTTTTAATTATTATCTAAATACTAATTGTGAATAAAGAAACAACACAGTACTGAAAGAATTAAAAATAATAAACGCGTTTAGACAAAATAAGACAAAATTACCGCTCATATTTGAATGTTTTGTGTTGAAGGATTCAGATTTCTACCTTCCAAACCGTTTCCGCTTGGATCAACGTTTATCCTTTTCTCATCCTGTTTCTCATTATTTTTATTAAAGATGATTATTGAATAATAAATAAAGTTAACACATTGCTTAATTTAAGACTGTTCAGTGCATTTGCCTCTTTGTAACTCTTTTCAGGAGTCACCAAACTAGGTCAGAGGTAACGTAGACATCGAGTGGAACTGAAGGGCTGAAGACTGTTTCCATTGTTATTTCTATGAGTTATTCGTTCATTCATTAATTTTTTTTGCCGCTTTTCCGGGACGGGGTCACGGGGGCAGCAGTCTTAGAGCCTACTCACATTATGCCATCTGTACCGTGCCCAGGCCCGTTTCCTGGATCGTTTGAGAAGTGTGAGTGCGCTGAATCGGGCTCAAGCACGGTTCACTTGGCCGGCCCTGGCCCGGTTGGAAGAGGTGTGCCTGAGCGCGGTTCACTTGGGCTTTGGCGCGGTACGCTTGTAGTGTGAGTGCAAAATGCGCTAAAGCCCGAAACTGAAAGCAAGACGTGACTTTTAAGGCACTGTTTCATATGATTTATTAATAATTCTTACTGTTCAGTGAACGCAAACTGCCGTAGCTTATTAAAGACGAGAACTCCTCACAGCATGACAGCTGCGCACCTTCAGCAGACCTCCTCATTCCTTCAGCACGAGAGCTTTATGATTGTTTATGAGTGCCAAAAGTGGCGGATCTGTTTGGTGAAATATCTGACTGCGTGTCACCGCATCCCTAAGGACTGTTTGGCGAAATATTTGACTGCATGTCACTGCATAACAAACGACTGAAACGATATAACTAGAGAAATCTCCACTGTGCTGCTGAGTGAGAGAGCGCTTCTCACTGAACAGCGCAGCAGCGATGACGTAAGCGTGCCCAGGCCCGATTGTGGTGTGAGTGCTGGCCGTCGGGGGAGACGGTAGGGGGGACAAGCGTGCTTTTGGCCCAGTTCGAGGCATTTGTACACTGCAAAAAATGCTTTTCTTACTTAGATTTTTTGTCTTGTTTCTAGTCCAAATATCTTAAAATTCCTAAATCAAGAAGCATTTTCTAGACAAGAAAAACAAATTGTCTTGTTTTCAGAATTAATATGCCAAAATTTGGTGAGTTTTTCCTTAAAACAAGCAAAATAATCTGCCAAAGGGGTAAGCAAAGTAATCTTACGTCTCGAAAAGACAAGATTAATTTGCTTACCCCATTGGTAGATTATTTTGCTTGTTTTAAGGAAAAACTCACTTAATATTGGCATTTTATTTCTCAAAACAAGACCATATGTTTTGCTTGTCTAGAAAATGCTTCTTGATATAAGAAATTTTAGATATTTAGACTAGAAACAAGACAAAAAAGTTAAGCAAGAAAACCATTTTTTGCAGTGTACCTAGTGTGAGTATGGCCTTAGAAGAAAACCCCAGACTTCCCTCTCCCCAGACACTTCCTCCAGCTCGTCCGGGGGGATCCCGAGGTGTTCCCAGGCCAGCCGAGAGACATAATCCCTCCAGCATGTCCTGGGTCTTCCCCCAGACCTCCTCCCGGTGGGAGATGCCTGGAACACCTCCCTAGGTAAGCGTCCAGGAGGCATCCGAAACAGATGCCAGAGCCACCTCAGCTGACTTCTCTCAACGTGGAGGAGCAGCGGCTAGACTCGGAGCTCCTCCTGAGTGTCAGAACTCCTCACCCTATCCATAAGGGTGGGCCCTGCCACCCTGCGAAGGAAACTCATTTCGGCCGATTGTATCCGAGATCTTGTCCTTTCAGTCATGACCTAAAGCTCATGACCATAGGTGAGAGTAGGAACGTAGATTGACCGGTAAATCACAGTTTGTCCATAACGAACACCATGTTCAAGCATAAGGGTGTCCATCTGTGCACATGGCACCAGGACACCATAGGGCGGAGGTCAATGAACGACTTTGTGGTTGTACCATCTGATCTCCGACCATTTGTCTTGGATACTCGGGTAAAGAGAAGGGCAGAGCCGTCAACTGATCACCACCTGGTGGTGAGTTGGATCCGCTGGCAAGGGGGAAAGCTGGACAGACCTGGCAGCCCCAAGCGTACTGTGAAGGTTCTCTGGTAACGTCTGGCTGAACCTCAAGTCAGAGGGATTTTCAACTCTCACCTCAGGTAGAGCTTTCACCAGATCCCAAGTGAGGCTGGAGACATGGAGACTGAGTGGTCTATGTTCTCCAACTCCATTGTTAATGTGGCCGTAAGGTCTGTGGTGCCTGTCGAGGCGGCAATCTACGAACCCGGTGGTGGACACCAGAAGTAAGGGATGCCGTCAAGCTGAAGGAGTCCTACAGGGCTTGGTTGGCTTTCAGGACTCCCGAGGCAGCTGATTTGTTTTGACAGGCCAAGTGAGGGATGTTTTCCAGTGATGGGTTGCAGCTGGAAGGGCATCCACTGCTTAAAACATATGCTTGATAAGTTGGCGGTCCATTCCGCTGTGGCAACCCCCGATTTTTTTCTGCTTGCTAGCAAATTTCGGATGCAAACTTTTTTTTTCAAACGAACTAAAGTTTTAAGCAACAATGCAGCAAAACCAGAAATCAAACCAAAACTGTTCTTAAAACCACTTCAGCACATTTATAATGATTATTGAAATCACATAGACCTCAAACAAACGTCTTTTATTAAAATCTTTTTATTTACAGGCATATATTATTTTAAATCAGCACTAAATATGGAAAATCATAGCTAATTGTGACACAAAATCATACTTGTGTTAAATGACGGCCCCGGAATGTCAAAACCATGACCCAATGGTTAGTTCACATGCTCTGGAGATGCTCGTGCAGGTTCTAATCCAATCTCATTGTTTGTTTGATTATTTATTTATTTATTTTCCTAATTCAATTTCCTTCAGTTTTTTATTCAGTCATATTTCAATATCTCCCCTATCAATAAAAGTACCTAAAACATGAAGTTCATGTAAACAATGTCTTGAAATACTAAAAATGTACAGCAATTTGGACCTATGTTCTCAGTTAGTCACGTGATTCAAAGACTTAATCCGCCATTGCTGTGTGCGTCAGAGCGGCCTCCTGTGGACACAGAGAGAACATCTCTTTTTCAGTACGCTGCATTAGATCTATGTGTGTGTGTGTGTGTGTGTACTGTATTTTTGATTAATGTACCAGTGCGCTTTTTGCTCTTTGAACAGCGACTTCCAACATGCTTCGGTCAGACAGAATTTGTTGCAGAGTTCCAGAATCCATTTCCAGCAGCATCCCTGTATGCACACACAAACACATAATCATACAGCATGTGCTAAAACATGCGCAAAAGGGTCGCTCACTCAAAACTCAATTTTCATGTACTCATCCTCCACTATCTGACTTCTGTTTAACGCAAAAGAAGATATTTTGAAAAATGCTGGCAACTATGGAACTTCTATAATGGACGTGGAGCAACCAGCATTCTTCAAAATATCTTCCTTTGTGAAAAGAGAAACTCAAAAAGTTGTAGACGCACATGAGGGAGAGTAAATGATGAGGTCATTTTAGTGTTTGAATGGATTTAAACGAGCTCACCTGTGATGTCAGCGCAGTGGGTGGGGTCAAGCTGATGCACAAAACTGAAAAGCGTCTCTCCAACGGCCTCCACGTCCTCTCTGTCAGAGCTGTCACTCACATCTGTGACATCATCACCCTGCCTGCACACCATGCGAACAGCATCATGTGAGTTTATTTATTGTACAAAACCTTACAGTACGCTTTCTAAGTTTGTCAGTAGTAGTTTGTCTGTAATAATATGGGTTTTGCATCATTTATTTTGCATTTATTGTCAAATTTATAATATTTTTTTGTGTGTTAAACTATTAAGATCTTTGCATCATTTATTATTACTATTAGTATATAAATAAGTAAAATCAGATTTTTTTATAGGGTGTCACTTGCAATGATTTATGGGTAAAGTATGGTTAGAAAATGGGTACCTTTGTCTTTGTGCCTTAATACTTTGATTCAAAGCAAAGCTTGATTTGGTTTTAGGCTTATAAAGCTTTTGCGTGGCTATAAAGACTCTAATGCACTTCTTATACCATTTTAAATCATTCCTATTTAACCATATACATCTGTTTAAAAAAGTTACAGATCTTCAATATCCATTAAAAACACAGAGAATTCCTATATTAATATTCTTCCCAGCATTCAATGATATATATTACCTTACATCTGTCTTGATTTCAACCCTTTAAATGAGTTTGTTTACATGTTGACCTGAAAATCGATTCTTTTTCAAATGCTATTTTTTTTACAGAATTGTCCAAGCCTATGATCAGAAACAACATTCGTTTTTGTATTTAATTAATTTCATACAAATAAATAACAAAAAACTATTATAAAACTACCCCTCACACACATGGAAAGTTCTCAGTATATACATATAAAACAAGTTCTCTAATCAAAAGCTCAACACTTATACATAATTATAGTTGCATCATTAGAATTATTTTGGCCTACGGGTAATTAACTGAACTGTTAGATTTATAGAGTTAGAAAATTAAAAACTTTTAAAATTAAATTAAATTGCAAAATTTGTGTCTAATAAATAAGCTAAAGTCACCTACTCCTTCAAGGTCTTCAAGGCCATCTTAACTTGTTCCTCGAGGAGTGTTTGATCCGACAGCAGCTGAAGCACCGCCTCCTTCTTCTGCTCCAAGAGCATGCCTGTACAATTATCATAATAATGTAATAGTAATTCCACTATATATATATATATATACATACAGTTGAAGTGATAATTATTAGCACTCCTGTCTATTTTTTCCCCAGTTTCTGTTTAACAGAGAGATTTGTTCAACATTTTTACATATAAAAGTTTAATAACTCATTTATAATAACTGATTTATTTTATCTTTGCCATGATGACAGTAAGTAATATATCAGACATACTGTGAAAATTTCCTTGCTCTGTTAAAAATAATTTGGGAAATTTTTTTTTTTTTTTAATTTATCATAATCAAAAGGGGGCTAATAATTAAACATAGAAAGCATTTACTGTGCACTTAAATATTTTAAATAACTTAATTTATTTATATATAATATATAAAAATATATATAGTTGCAATAATGTTCCAATGTTATTCAGCATAACAGACTTGTGTAAAACTAAAACAACACACACGTGTTCTTAACTTGTATTTAGGAATATGCAATTATTCTGAATGGTATCATATTTTGAATTATTACAAACTTATTGCTGAATTGGGTTTTTTAGGATTATGTGGTGAGGCATTTATGCTAGCATTAATTTATCATTGGAAACACATATACGGTTGAAGTCAGAATTATTAGCCCTCCTTTGAATCTTTTTTATTTATTTTTATTATTATTTCCCAAATGATGTTTAACAGAGCATGGACATTTTCACAGTATGTCTGATAATATTTTTACTTCGGGAGAAACCCTTGTTTGTTTTATTTCAGCAAGAATGAAAGCAGTTTTTAATTTTTAAACACCATTTTAAGGTCAAAATAATTAGCTATAATATATTAGCCTATTTTTTTCCGATTGTCTACAGAACAAACCGTCGTTATACAATAGCTTGCCTAATTACCCTATTCTGCATAGTTAACCTAATTAAAAAATAAAACAGGGGGGCTAATAATTCTGAGTTCAACTGTATAAATATGTATCAACAATAATCAATAACTGCACCTGTAATTTTCTGTGTTTGTCCAGTGTTGTAGAGGTGGATGAGGTCATACAGCTGTTCACCCAGAGAGTCAGAGGACGCAGACGCCGCATCATCAGTGTGAGACGCAGGCTCACTGAGAAATCAGACAGAGCTCATTTACCTGACACTGAGTAATATGTTCATTTATTAATAGATCATATAAATAATTATTGTTAACTTCCAGCCACAGCTGTAGCCCTAATAGCAAAATGAAAAGTTGTGTTACCTATTATCAGGTGATGTGAGGGCGGCCAGAGCTCTTTCCAGAGCTTTACTCAGAAGAGCTTCATCACACAACATCTGAGACACAACTGAAGCAGGCAACTCCAGCAGCATACCTGCAGATAGATAGATAGATAGATAGATAGATAGATAGATAGATAGATAGATAGATAGATAGATAGACAGACAGACAGACAGACAGACAGACAGACAGACAGACAGGCAGACAGACAGACAGGCAGGCAGGCAGGCAGACAGACAGACAGAGAAAGAGAGAGATAGACGGACAGACAGACAGATAGATAGACAAATAGACAGTGTATCACCTGTAAGTTTCGGTGTCATCTCAGCATATCTCGGATGTATCAGATCATACAGTTTCTCTCCCAGAGTCTCCAGATCTTCATCATTCTCCATCACTGCTGCACTGAGTGATGATGATGAAGATTCGCCTCTTAAATACGTTAGTCATACGATTAATAACCTCATATGTCTGGACTCCGCTGTCATTTTCGCAAACTAACTGTCCTCAGTTGAGTATTAATAATAATAACAATAACAATGTGTTTACAGAAGACATCGGTGCTGGTTTGTTGTGGTTCGCAGAGCGCATGAAAGTGACGTAGAGCACGCAGAGCGCATGACGTACGCAAACTGCATCACTCGCAGTCCGAAAGATTATCTTCATCCGCACTGTGCCTCAGACAAATAGTCCCGTTGAAAAAAATATTTTATCGTAATGAAAATTATATTAACTCACAAAAAAATCTAAAATACATGTGAAGTGTATTTAAAACAATATAGACTCTGATTTGATTGTGAATTGACATGTTACTACTCTTCACATAGGCGCGCGGAAATACATAATCTCTAACGGAACTGGAACTCCTTCCTTTCCCTCTCTCTTCCTCTGCACAGAAGGTAACGTGGTCGTCTTGTGTAGCTTTTTAGCGACCGAATAAACTCGTTAAAAGCATACATTTCAGTATAAAATACGCGTGGGATGTGTTATGAGCGGTTTATGAACGCTACCCTTCGGTGTAAGTTAGTGGAAATAAAGAGAAAGGTGTTTCACTATAAACGCCGCCGGTGTTGATTAGCGTTAGCGTGGCCTTCATTGAGCACACCGCTATATATGATTAAAACAACCTAGAATGAGTAATAAAGTTATGATTTCCACCCAGAATTGGTACATTAACGGTTGTACGAAAATTATGATGCGTGATTTTGACATTGGAGTGACGTAAAGTTGGTTTTCTACTCTCACATTAATTCAGTGACAACTTGTGACATGCTCCCTAGTGTTTACTATAGTAACGTTACTGTGAATATTCGGTGTAAAATACCATGTAAGAGTCACTTTAAGACTTCATTAGCTCCATTTAGTTGACCGTAAACAATGGTGCACTTCGGTAGTCATTGCTAGCAAATATAATTTCACTAATTAGCATTTTTGTAAGAATACTTTACTATAATTAAAAGGGTGGAAGTCCATATGTGTGAATATGTAACTTAACCTCAACGATTTGTCTATTTATGATTTTTAATGCATATTTCAAAGTGGTAGTTTATTGTGATTAGCGAGGTTATTTGGATTTACTGACATCTGAGCAGATGTTAACTATTATAATGAGTATTAATGGATTTGTTTTATTATTATTGGTTCAGGACAGTCATCATGGCATCGCCTCACCTGCAGTGGATGGTCATCAGAAACAGCTCTAGTTTTCTCATCAAGAGGAACAAACAGACCTACAGCACCGTAAGTAGCCCAGATTTAACACCAGTTTTATGTGGGTTGTTTTTGATGCATTTAAATGTTAAAAATGACTCTATGTAGACTCTCTAGCTCAATTGTGTAAAGTTTAAGGCTTAGAGACTGTTAGAATTGTGGTAACATTGACTTTACGCTTGCACGTTTGTTCATACGTAGTTTGTAGTTTTTGAGGTAAAGTTGGTATTATCTTCGTACGTTTGTTCAGTGAGAACTTATATTGTTTACCACGCTACTTTGAATATTCAATCAAGTAGCATGCAAGTATGACTTTAAAACAACATTAGCACTTTTTAACTGACTGTGAACACTTGTACTTTGATAGTTATTGGCTGCTCATGATTTCCTGGTTTAGAATGCTTTTCTGAAATAATATTAAGGAGAAAGTCCAAATGTGCAAATATAAAACCAATTTTACCCCGATTAAATTGTTCACCACGCTAATTTTAATATATCATATGAAATTGCATGCTTAAATGACTTAACTACAACATTAGCACTATTTAGTTGACTTTGTTGTATTTTGATAGTTATTGGCCTCTAGTATGATTTCTTAACATTTTAGAAAATGCAACGAATACTTTTCTGAAATTACATCATGGGGACAGTCTGAATGTGGGACTATAAAACTCACTTTACCTCAATACTGTTACAATGTTTCAGTATTTGACTTATTGCAAATCATCTAAAAGCACTGTCATGCAGTTCAGGTCAGTAGTTTGCAAAGTCTTATTTTTTCTATTTTGTATTCAGTCTTATCCACCATTGTTCTGGCTATGGGAAACACAAACATGTTTACATGTCCCTTTTTTCATAAATTTAAATGTTTGTAGTTTACAAAAGTCAATAATGGTATCATTAACTTAAATGCAACTATTATCAGAAACATTGTAAGACCTTCATAAACCTATTAAACAAGTTTAATAGGGGTTGAAAGTTATTATTATATCACCTGACATGAATTTGAAGTAAAATACATTGAAAGACATTAGCTATCTTAAAGGCCTAGTTCACCCAAAAATTAAACTAGTCTACTCATTTTCCACTTTTTCCAAACCAGTTTGACTTTATTCTGTTGAATACAAGGTATTAAAGCAGGGGTCACCTCCAGGGGACCTGGAGGGCTTGTGTCCCTGCAGGGTTTATTCCAACTTGCCTCAACACACCTGGATGTTTCAGTATACCTAGTAAGACCTTGATTAGCTTGTTATGATTGTCTGATTAGGGTTGGAACTAAAATCTGTAGGACACCGGACCTCCAGGAACAAGTTTGGTGATCCCTGTCTTACAGTATGTTGGGAAGCAGAAGCTATTGACTTCCATAGAAATGTTTTGTTGATCCTATTATGGATGTCAGTGTCTGCGGCTTTAAGCGTTCTTAAGAATATCATGTTTTCTGGTCATAATCTAAAACCACTTGTGTGCGAGTAAATCAGGAAAAGTTTTTTTTTTTTTTTTTGTGAATTGTCCCTTAAACTGTACAGTCAAACTGCTAATTCCAGTTAATTTTTCACTTGTTTCCTCTAATTAAATATACTGATGTTTTCCTTTTTGTTGATCCTTTGACTAAAGAATTTATTTGTCATATAACGCATTACTGCATCTACAGGAAGACTTCATCAAAAATTGAAGTGTATGTTTAATGTAAACGTATTTATTTAAGTTTCAACTCTTGAAATATGAAGTAATTGAAGTTGATGTTATGTAATTTCATCTATGTAGCTCTTGCCATGAAATAGCTGTAAGATTCTGATGTGGCAATAAATAAACTTAAGTACTGCTTTCTGATCTTGAATATTTTTCTCTAATTTTCAGGAGCCGAATAACCTGAAGGCCAGGAATGCTTTCCGCTTCAATGGTCTCATTCACAGGAAGACCATTGGCATTGAGCCGGCCGCTGACGGCAAAGGTGTGGTCGTGGTCCTGAAGAAACGTTCAGGTCAGTGATGTTGTTTAAGTCCTAGTTTAAAGATTCAGGAGCAGTGGGTTCATTTCTGAAATGTGTTGTATTTTAAAATCAAAACAAACTACACACTGTCATGATATTAACTATAGTAGTCGACATTTGAAGTAGATCTTCTATTAGTTGTCCTAAAACTTATGAACACCCATTCTTGTCTTATTTGGTTAATGTTTTGATCCACTTTATATGTTGACTACTGTATGCCTGTTGCATTGAGACTATACTACAATAGTATGTAGTATAGTATAATTTTGTAGTATCTATACTACAAAATTACTAGTCCATAAGCAGTGCATTCACACTGAAAAAAGTATGAATAAGTACTTTTAAATACCTGGATGGTGCACTTATTCAACCCTTAAAAATAAGTGTGTAATTTTGAACACTTTACGACAATGGTCTCAAGCTCGATTCCTGGAGGGCCGCAGCTCTGCATAGTCTAGGTCCAACCACCTCTAACTCACACCTGCTCAATAGTCTGTAGTAGTCTTGAACACCTTGATTGGTTGGATCAGCTGTTTTTGATTGTGGTTGGAGCAAAACTGTGCAGAGCTGCGGCCTGCCAGGAATCAAGTTTGAGCCCTGTGCTTTATGCACTCAATGCTGGAAGTTGCTGGTGTAGCAGAAGGGGAGGAGCTACATGGTGCAGAGGTTGTATTTCTTTATTTTGGGCTATAAAAGCAAAATTCTCCGACATAAGTGATTCTGCTGCATGCTGATTGTGAATACGGTTGTGTTTATGACAGGTACTGTTGGTAGTATGGTAATTTATATCTCTAATTTAGCAAACATTTCCGGGTAAACGGTTTGAATTTATTTCTGTATAGTAAAAAAAACTTTGATTTAAGATGACACTAAATTACACATTACACTACATGGTTGAGTGTATTAATGCATAATGTAAAGTGTGTCATTTAGGATGCAACTACTGATTTATATGCAAGCCAAAGAATGGTAAGGCGATCTGAAAGACCAGTGAACAAGTTTCTTATTAGTTAAAAGTCTGCATTTGTTTCAGGTCAGCGCAAACCTGCCTCCTCATATGGGAAGATCACCATCAACAAGAACTCTCGCGCCACCCTCGCCAGCGTCAGGAACATCATCCGCAAAAACAAATACAGGAGAGATCTGCGTATGGTGAGTTTGCACATCTCACACACACACACACACACACACACACCACAGCATGATGCATCTAACAGGTCTACTTGTATTTAGGCACTGTTTACATCTAGGTAATTGAGATTAGTTTGGTGTTCTGTAAGGCATGAGCTCTGACGTTCAGCTGTGTTTTATAGTCATGTGGGCTTTTTAAATGTATGTTATGTAGTGTCAGTTCACTCATTACCTGATTCTCTGTTTTCCTCATCAGGCTGCTCTGAGACGCGTGAGCGCCATCCTCAGCAGTCAGAAGCCTGTGGTGGTGAGGAAGAAGCGCTCCAGGGCTCCCAAGAGTTCATAAATAGACGCATATACAGCTTTTGACTTAATAAAAGCTTTTGGTTAAACTTCATTTTGCCTTTCGTCTCATCTTTTGTTTTTTGTTTGTTAATGGACTTGCAATGTTCAATTTAAAGGGTTAGTTCACCCAGAAAGTTATTTTATTAATTACAGTCATACTGTTCCAGACCCACTTTTGATTGAATGAACTTTTTAAAGATGCATTTAATGGTGTGAAATGTTCACTAAAATATTACTGGAGTTCTCTGATCTTGTTAGCCTGTAATATAGAATAGAAATGCACAGAAAGAAACTTTTATTTACAGATTCAAAGTTCTGTCTTTTAAGCAACATTTTTTTTAGAAATGATCCAGCATTAGTGAAGATTTATCAAAAACAACTGGAATTGCAGGATCTTTATTTTAATGCCCTGTATTGTTGGCTGTTTTGACACTGAAATTAAA